TGAGTCTGGTGAATGTATTTTTGGTGGTCCAGTCCACCATAGTGCATGATCTTGAAGCTGAATAGCCGTTAATCCTCGGAATACGCAATCCGAGAATTCATCCACAAGTTTGTTGCCTTTATTTCACGTTCAATGTGGTCTTGACGTACAGCAAGAGTCTTGAAAGCTACAGAGCTGCTACCAGCTCCAACCTCGGGATGGTGAACCGCTTGAGGGCTGCTATCTTCGTCTTGAAGAACACAAGGCAACTGTAGAACTATTTGGATTATGGACGGCAAGGTATATGACTTTAGCCATTACCAATTGATAGGCATCAGAAAAACCATATTATTTCGATAACTATTGTTGTGGCGTTGTGTGGGGTTTGCTTGCACTGACTCGTGGATGCAAAACTTGCTAATCTCTCCCTGCTGTCACTTCGTGCACTCGGGCACTATACGTGGCGGTCAGAATTAGTTCTTAGTTGTGGAAGTGAATGCTGACCTGTCCGTGCTACCACTTTTGCTCAAGCACTATACGTGGGGTCAAAGTCAGTCTTTAGTCGTGAAGGTTGCTATCATCTCTCTTGAATATTTATAGAACTGAATTATACGTTATCACTACGCCATTGATTTATTCTTCCAACACCTTTTCACTGCCAGTTACCTTGTTGAATACGCACACGAAACTGAACGCATGTTCCTTCCGTGGCGGCCCTGCTAAGAGGGCGAGACTTCCTTCGCGTCCTCAGTAAGAGAGCGCCTGCTTCTGAATCGTTTGCTGAAGTGGTCAGTTTCAACTGAGACTGCTGTTGAGAATGTGAATACATCCTCACGAGGAGTCCACTATAATCCGAGTAATTTGATTGTACAATCGTCAAATGTAATTGTTAACTCCTGTTACTTGACTACGTTAATACGGCGTTCGTTTACTTGAGTGACATTTTGCCAATGGGAAACTGCCCGACATGCAGAGCTTTTGTAGTTGGTGTGCGGTTTCAGTTATCCATTATCTACGAAGGTGCTGCTTCAGACAAAATTACTATTGAGGTAGATGATGTGACAAATAAAGATGATAAGTAAACTACGGATTAAGTCTTAGTATGAATAAATAATACTTTCTACATGAATAGTGTATCTGAAATTTCTTCTACGTGGTTTTGGGACATTTTGATAATTTTCATAACAAGTAAGTAATGCTTTTTATATTTTGTTAATTTTACGATCTTCTTACCACTAATAGATTATTTATAAAATTATTGTTCATCCTTGATGATTATATAGACGTATCATCTCGCAGTTTATATAACTCTCCTATTAAAAGAGTTATGAGAAAGTTTGAAAAAATGTTAATTAAAATGTATGTATGAAAATTAATTCTTCTCTTAAATTAATAATTTACAATAAAAATACTTATAAAATTTATTGTCTTTTAGTCCAACAAAAAAATTAAATTAAATGAAACAAAAAATATATGTATTAAATTTAGTTGTATTTAACAATACATTGAATTAATTTAATTAAATTAAAAATTATAGAATATGAACTCATAATTATATTTATAATATTAACTAAATTGTAAATAGTTTTATTTACATACGTGGATACTTGAAAAAATACTTTTTTAACTACATAATCAGGAAATCAACTTAAACACTTTATTATGTTAGAAACGAAACAGTCAGTTTTTTTATTTAAAAAAAATGCAAAAAAGTATAATTATATTCGTTTTTTTTTTAATTAATCGATAGATTAAGAATTAAAGAAAGTATAAACAAATGTATCATATATTTACAATAAAAAAATGTCCTTTTGTACTTTTAATTGAAATGAATTTTTTTATATTAATGAAATTCTAATGAAAAAAAAAACAATTTTAAGATTTGTTAACAAATTAATAATGTAATAAAAATAAAGTTATAATTCAGATTATAATTAATTAAGAACATGCATTATAATTTGATAGCCACAAATTATTTAAATTATATATTAAATGTTGATTTGAAAATAGCTCATTATACACATATAAAATAAAATTCTACTAATATATATGTTAAATATTTTTCTTGTCAAAAGTTTTTAATTTCGTGCACATTCTAATGAAAGTTTTTTATATAGCTATAGTTTGATATTACAAATCAATATCGACAAAATTATTTCCAAGTTTAAAAGGAAAGAATAATCTGAAGACCAATGAATTTGCAAAAATGGACAGTGTACTAATAAATTGGTTTGTGCAATTTCATCTTAAGAATTTAGTTATAGGCACGACTTATTTAAATCTATAAATTTAAAGCCACTAAGAAGATAAATTATTTCTAACATTCATCTATCTATATTGTCACATAAAAAACCCGATATCATCGTATGTATTTTCACAAGAAGACTTTTTCTCTCGTTTTTGTAAGAAGTATATATTGAAGTATGAATGCTTCATGAGCGTGCAGATACAAGCGTGGTTGATGGTAATAAGCAGTTGCTTGACGTCAGATTAAACTATTCTATACATGTAACCTAATTTAAAAAGTCAAAATAACTTTAAATATTATGAAGAATGTAGGTCGTATAAAAGATGATTTCAAAATAAATATCTAGAATTCATAAATGATTGTTTAGCATTGGACTTTAGCAGTTTTTGTTATTTTGCAAAGTTAAAATTTAATTTCATTTAAACACTTAGAGGTTTCAGCATATTTCAGTAATTATTTGTGCACGAATACATGCACATTTATAATATCCTTGCATTTAAAGCTAAATGAAAATATGTAAATCAATATTATTAAAAACCAAGAAACTATGAAATAATCTACTTTTCATAAAATGACATGTAAAATATATTGCAAAAATTGCATTAAAGTTATTTTTGTTTTATATGAATAAGACATAAGTTTTAAAAATAATGCAATTTCAATTTCAATAAAATAGAGATCGAAAAACTTTCATTTTTTTTTATTTTCGATCGCTGTCATTGTTAACTATTAATTTAAAAATATTTTATAAATATTTTATATATGATAAAAAAATAAATATAAAATATAAACGAATAAAAATATATATATAAATTACATATATATTTAAGTAAATAAATATAACATATATAGTTTAAATATAAAAATAAATATTACTTTAAAATAATTATATTTTTAAAGTAACATCAGTTTTAGGATTAAAATGTATCTATAATTATTAAAATTAGTCAAGAATAAATTTAATTAAAAAATTATATATTAATATTATTTGAAAATTATATAAATCTTGACTGGTTATACAAATAAATATATATATTTATTAAATATAATAAACAATAATAATAATATAATCATTTTTAAATAAAACTAAAATTTTTAAATGCAAGCACTGATATACACAATACATGTGTATATAACTACTATTGGAAAACATACCAGAATCCAATTAGAACATGAATTATTTTTAATAAATTTTACTGTAAAAATAGAACATCTTAAAATTAATTGATAGCAAATAAAAACTTCGTTAATAAGGTCGCAGTAGTTGGTCAATAAGAAGATTGATATGTATTACACTATCAATCGTTGACTATGTATGAGTTGATAAGAAACGGAAATATTTTCATTTTGATTTTTATCAATGTTACCCTAAATTTATTTTTGACTAAAATTATATTAAGAAATACATAGGAACAATAATCTAGTAAGAATCTATTAAAATGAAATTAATGAAAATAGATTAAATCGTTTTAACGCTTATACCCTTACTACGCAAATCTATTTTGAGTTAGTTTCTAACGAATTATAAAAAATATAGTATGTTATAACAAATACATTTTTACCTCTACCTATTCAAACTAAAGGAATATAATTAAACAAATGCTAATAGTTTTATAAACGTTAGAAAATCTTTTATTGACATTTAAATAACTTAAGTAATACAATTTTGTTAATGCATTTTTAAATTAATTAAAAATTAAGTTTAATTTTAACAAAACAGATGTAAATTTTTATAATTCTTGAATATTCATAAAAAATGTTTATACACGTAAATATCATTAGGCTAAACTATAGAAATTGTGATGTTTCTTAAATTGATGATCCAAATTAGTTTGAATATAATGTTCATTTAAATAAGTAACACGATAAATACAAAATATAATGAAAAAACCGAACAATTACATTTATTTTAAAATCTTTTCTATTCTAATATATTAATTTTATTAATATTTCCATTTTTGCTATTTACTGCTCAAACTAAAATATCTCACAGATAAATTATACATTTTTTAAATATAATAATTATATATGAACTCATTCATTGTATAATTAAAAGGAACGTCTTTTAACTTATTTAACATATTATTTAATATTGTTATACAGAAATTATATCAATGAAGTAAAGCTTTCAATGACGAATGGAATAACGCTAAATAAATAAAATTAAAAATAATACGAGATTTTTGCAAATTAAATGATGAAAACGTCATTAGAATTTTTATAAAAAGAGGAGTCTTATATTTTAATACCTTATTATTTGCTATTACGTTTCTTTGTACAATATAATATACAAATACATGTATTAATTTTATTAATATTTTATAAATTAGAATTATACTTGTATCGATTAATGTATGATTAATAATTTCATAAATATAAAATATTTATTATTATGCATTTCCAAAATTAAATTTAAATATATTGAAGTTTATTAACATTCTCAATCAAATGGCTGATTTTAATTCAAAACTGTTTTAAAATTAATTTTTTTAAATAAAATTATTCTTAAATCATATAAGTTTGTTAAGCTTTTTTCATTAAGTTAATCATTAACCTTGTTTCATATAAGATTCATTAAAATATTACCTTATTTTTAATAGAATTTTATTGATGTAACCGTATTTGAACAAAGGCAAATATGTAAATACTTTGTACGTGAAACTGAAATTATTATACTATAGAATACTTAAAATAAATAAAAAATAACTTAAATACATATTTTTTTAAGTTCTTGGAACAAACATTATACCAGCAATAATGACTGTTGGCGTACCTCGCTTTTGGTGCTCCATACTGGGCGCCATAAGTTTCTCGGGGACGTTCACTTTAGAGAACGATTGATTTAGCAAAATACCAGGTAGCAATACTAACTTCTTCTTGCAGCCAAACAGTATCTCAACAAAGGTTTGGTAAGAACATTGAGACAGGTAATCATCCAAGGCATATCAGCAATACTTTCTTTCTATATGAATGCGTTCGCTTTTTAAATACATGCAATATAATGCCCAGACTCCTGGCACATATCATTTAGATTTTGTTTTTTATAGTTTACAATAAACGAGGATATGGCGATGAAGGAATCCTAATGCCGAATTTTATTGTTCAACTGATTTTATCCAGTATCGGCTAAAGCTCTTCCGTGGTCACTACTCGTATGCCTTATTATGGATTGAAGATCCTCCCTCATTCCAATTTGTTTAATCCTTACTTCTGGAGCCAGTTTGCGAGCTTTCTTCACTTTTTCCAACAGTATGGCTGTTTGAACAATTACTCTTGGAGCTTTCTCTTTTAAGCGCGTTATTTCTGCTTCTACCTTTTTATACCCTTTTCTTTAGTTTTTACGATAACTTTTTAATGTTTCATGCGTCACAAAAGTCGTGAGTTGTTGGTATTTACATAGTCACAACGGGAAAATAATGCGTTTCAACGAAACTGAATCGAGCCGTAACAAGAGTCAGAATCTATTTTTGACGTTTTATAACGACGTCTTCATTAATGTCAACATTTGTCTTTTTATTTAAGGTGCAATATAACAGCAGAAATAAACAATGTACTGTATTATAATTAATAAACTATAGATATACAATACGGGTTTGCGTTTAATATCGATGTTGACGAATTATTGTATATATAGAGCAAGTCTATACGCTACTTGTTTGACTGATACTCGATGCTGGTATTAACTAAACTAGCACCTCGCTCCGCGCTTGATTTTAACATCGACCCGCGCGCGCGCCTTGTCTTCCTTTCTAGTTTGTTCCCCCACTTAGTCTACACTGACCTCTATCTCATATGTACTTCTCACACTCATTGATTCTCGAGTGTTCTTTATTTTTTTGTTTTATCTGTCATCCTCCTCTTTTTTTCTTTTACTTAACTTCGATTTTTTCCTGTCAATTCTACAAAAAGAGTATTTGAATAAAGCAATTATTAAGCTTTCTTAAATCGAATTCATTTATAAATTTATAAAATGCTAGATTATTTATTGTAATGAAACTATTATCTCAAAAAGCACATTATATTACACATTTTTTATTTCTAAATATGTTCTTACATCATTTTTTCGTATACGGTTTTAAGAAAAATAAAATTATTTTTCGTCACAAACATAACATTCAAATAAAATTTTGTAAATTTAATAAACAATTTCTTTAATGATTAACAAAATTAACAAAAAAAAAAAAAAAAACAATTAAAAAATATTCCATCAAAAATCATTCGTTAGCTTTATATTTCAAATACATGCTTTTAATTATATAATATCAATAGATATTATAAAAACTAATTGACTTAAACTTTCATTATATTTGAAATCGCTATTATACTTTTATTATTCATAATGTAAAAAACTGGTGTTTCAAAAATTTTTCGATGCATAATGTAATTGTTATATTTAAGTTTAAAGATTTTTGCATTAATAGCTGAAATAAAAAAAATAATAATGAAGAAGAAAACAATGCATTAAGTACATGTTTAAGATATGAATAATATTATTTAAAACTTAATAAAAAAGCAATAATATAAAAACTCCTAAAGTATCTATATATAATTTTTGAAGTTTTAAAATTCATTATCATTAATATGAAAACATTAAGTTTTATAAAGAATTATAATGTAAAAACTCATATTAAACAATTACAAAATAAAATTAAAATGTGAAAATATTATTAAGTTGAAAGCGTTGAAATATGAACATTATAACTTTTCATTTATTTATAACATAATAAAAATTTTCAGTTCAATGTTAATAAGTTGTAAAATTTTTATAAATTTCAATAATTAGGAGAATTTAGTTATCGTACATAAATAAAATAAAATAAAGTGCAATAGTAGTAAATAAAATTATTGATTGTCCCAGAAACTGTATATTTATCAAGATTCTCAAATTGAATGAATTGTTTTAGAAATTTAGTTATTAAATATTATAATTCTTTTTTAAAGCATGTATTTTAAACAAAAATAAATGATCTTTATATTCAACGTAAATAAAATCATTCAGTATTTCATACACAGCGTAAGTTAATAACATACAGTATATATATATATATATATATATATATATATCATAATAATCATATTTTGAACTACGTTTTCACTGTTACTATATAAAACCTGTATTTAACATAAAAATTTCTGGAGATGCATGAATTTTTTATTTGTAATGATATATTTAAAAATCAATATTTATTGTTGCTGTTAAAATATTTAACATTTGAATGATCATGATTCGATATATAAATAAATAATCATTTGAATGAATAAATATTAGAAATATGTTTAATTATATTTAATTACATTATTGTAAGTAATAAAAAATATTATTTGAAATTTTACAACACATCTTAATAATTCATGATATTTGTGCATTCAAAAAATATTAAAAATACTATTACAAAAATTGAAATTCTTGTAAGATAGAATAGATTAATTTATTTAAAACAAAGTATTATTAAAAATATATAATACGTATGTGGTAAGGAATTTATATTTATAAGTAATATATTTGGTATGTGTTAAATATTAACAATTGTTCTTAAAATAAGAAGAAATAAGTATAAAAACTGAAATTTTTAATTGTTTTAGGTCATTCATAATCAATTCCATGATATAAGTAAAAAATAATATATAAATACATTGGAAGATTAGATAGCACAAACTATTAAAAATGATATCGAATAATGATGAATTTATAATAAAAATTGACAAGGTATCTTATATCACCTGTTGCAACGACTTTCCAAGGGCAACGAGGACGCCAAAGGACTACCACATGCACGTATTGCCAATAACAGCATTCTGTGACTGCATGCTCCAGATTTAAGCAATTGTCCAACTGGCTTAGCGCCCCACTTCACTTATAAGTGCACTACCTCCAGAAATTGCAACAGATGCTCTGGACGGCATCATACACTACTACCTGACGAACAGTACTCGAGTCCAACCCAAGCAATTGTGGGTCATCGACAACCATAAGGAAGTGCCATTCATTTTACCACGGTAGTCTAAGGCGAAAGAGCTGCTCCGTTAATAGCAATCTGGACACTACTGTAACTAGTGGAAGGCTAAGGAGAGGTCTCCCGTGGCTGTGCCATCTATCACGGATGGCAGACATTTCATAATTACTGAAGGTGTGAACACGCCACACTACGACCGGAAACCCCGATTCAACTGCAGAACCGCTGCATGGCGGGCAGATTTCTAATGAGAAAAATGGCAGTTAATTTAACGCGCTGTATTCACTGCCATCCAAGCCGTCAGAAAATAGGAAGTGTCTATTACATTGCTAATTACACAACATAAAATTGATTACAATGGAGTTCTCCAGAAGATGCACTCATCCCTTTCAACAACACCTTGAATGGATCCTCGCCACATCACCAACGACTGAGATTCAGGCCTTCTCAGCAAATTTTGTATGGAAAGAATAAGAATTCACCTCCATGGGCATATTTGACAAGAGTACAGCAGATGAAGATATTGGAAGAATAACTCAAAGGGGCTATAAGGGATGAAAACAAAATGTACAAGGCAAGAATAGCATGTTGTATTTGTTACGTCATCGGGACTCGCTCGCAATCATTCGAGAACCCTTTCCCAAGGAATTACGCAAGTATAGGAAGAATGATGAATTCATTTTTGCCATACGACTAAAGGCACACGTCAACTCTGCCGCAACAATAAATAACAAATTCTTTAATAGGCATACTCAATTAACGCTTGCATACAAATGACATCCATATTGAATCTTGGCGGACGAACTTCAATACAGCCTCACACTCTACGATGGATTGCATGTGTATGACAGAAAAGTAAACCATCAAACAGTTATCAAACACGGGTGTTAACTATGCCAGTCGCTTTAAATATAAAACTCTGGACAGAGAGAAGTAAAAAATTCAACAGACGGATTCATCGCGGCATGCTGACATTTTTCAGAAGCATCCTACAACTATATACAATGTTCCCAAGAATAACAACAGACAGCAACGATCTTCATGAACCGCTACGCTTCACATGGGAGGAATTTGGGAAGCAGTGATAAACTTCGCCAAGCTTCACTTAAAGCGAACCATTGGAGAAACGACACTTGAAGAAACCACCACACTGTTTGCCCAAATCAACGCTATCCTCAACACAAAACGATTCAGCACTTACCGGACATTCGTAATCGGGAGCCGACTTACTACTATCCCAGAACCATCTCTACAGGATTTGTCAATTTCAGGAGTAATCCCTTGAAAGCTTTTAAACAACGTGTACAACAATTCTGATCACAGTGGTCGACATACTACTTGCAACAATAAGTGTCAAGTTCAAAACCCACGGAATGATATCCAACCTCACTAGTGCTCATCACATACGAACGATTAATTCCTTCAGGCGGAAACGGCCTAACCAGAGTCGTCACACTAAAGACTGCTCCCACCACGATGGTCAGAGCAATTCATAAACTGGCAGTCTTACCTATCCAAGAGAATGACGGAAATCATCAACTACAGTGCTGATGGCGGAGGAATGTTCAGGATTCACGCACCCAACAATAAAAATTTATTCCATGAATTTTTAAATAATTCTAATTCGCAATGTTAGAAAAATTCGCTACGGAAATTCTCGGTAAACGTTAAAGCCTTTGCCTAGGAAAGCCTTATAACTTATCCGCATAGCAACAAAAGAAGATTGTCGAATCGACTAAAGCTTACTTTCCGAGAAATTGACAGAATTTCAAAGAATTGTACACTCTAAATCTACGAAATCATATATAAAGAGCGACACACGACTAAGCAAATCAGTCTTGTTGAGTGAATCAAAGTGAAATAGTGCAAGTCATAACAGTTAAAAGTCCTCCACGTCCATCTAGAGGAAACCGTGCAAGGTATTCAATTGTTTACATTTTATTTATTTATTATCTATTGCTGGCCAGCTAGCGGTGCGCCCTCTGCAACTTGACTCTTGTCAGACCGCATTGAGGGCGACGGTCTAATCTAGCATCACCGGCAAGCTATTTATATCATTTATTGTTATTGCGGCTCAGCGTCAACATTATCGGTCAGGATTCTGCAACCTGACTATTGTCTGACCACTGAAAAGGGCGCCAATATTGCCTGATACCACCCCTCCCTCGCAATTCACAGCAAATGGGAATGCCTATTGGTAACGAGTCTCTCGTGAGCTTAGCTCCCATAATTAATGTTACGTTTCGCTGGTACAATAAAGCGGATACAGTACAAAAGGACCAGTCTCGCCTGGCACTTCCCGACGACATTCCACAGTTTATTGTCAACTGTTAGAATCACGACGAGCTGAACAATTCTCACAACAACCGGTAACAACTACCAATGTAACATACCCTTAAATAAAAGTCACAAAACAATTGTGCTTATACTGAATTAACCTCTCATTCATCTCCCCCTCTTCGCCATTAAACTGGTGGTATGGTCTAATCCAACAACCTTGGTCTTCGGACCAATCTGTTGACTGGAATTCCAAACAACTACTACATATTTCATATTATAATACAAGATAAAAATCGTAAGAGCATTAGAGAAACAATATTTATAATAATAGAGAAGTTGAAATTATTCAAAATTAAAAGAATTTATTATGTTGTATTTAAAATGTTTAAATATTAAAAAAAGATAATTGATCAGTAGCCGTTAATTGTAATTTCAAATATTTAAATTATTAAATATGGATATTAATAATGGTTCTGAAATATATAGTTTACCGTTCTTGCATACAAAATGGCGTTGTAGTGGTGAAATAACAGCATGAAAAAAATTATTTTAAAATAAGAATCTTATTTAGGTGAAGTATATACGAAAAGGTGGGTAATATATTTAAGACAAGACAAGGCAGTTTATCTGGAATAACATTTTTTGAAACTACATCTTCAATTATAATAGTTATCTAAAATAAAATGAATAAACCGCAAGCATATTGTTAAATTTGTATGTGATGTAATTAGATTTTTTCCACTTAATACTTTCAACATTTTTATTAATATATTATTACGATAGGATTTATTGTTATTTTATTACATAGGAGACTATTAAGACAACTATCAATATAAAATGCAAATTGGGTATATTTAATTCTCTAATAGATTGCAATGTCATATAGTAATAAATTATTATATAAACATCTAGTAGCTATTTTGTTAATTGCCATTCAAATCGTTTATTTAATTCAATTTATTTCAAATTTAAAGTTGATAAACAATTATTATTCATAATGAAAATATTTATTAGCAATTAATATTATAAATTAATTAAATTTATTTAATATATATTTATTACTTTCAAATTATAAAAACTGTAAAATTATATTTCGCATCAATATAGTTTATCAATAGATGTTTAGAGTACTATTATTAAAAATAATATAATTATATATTATTTATTTACGTGTTATGTAGTTTAATAATTTTTGTATTTTCAAAATTATAAGAAGTCGCGGGTAATACTTGTAGACTTGCGAAACACTAATATGATATATTACAGTGCAATTCAAAGATCTAGAAAAATCCTAGAGTACAATTTTAGGTTAAGTTTATGAATACAAATACGGAATAAATTTATTGTATATAATAAGATATCGTAAAAGTAAATGTTAATTAAATAAATATTATATATCAAAATATATTAAAATGTTAAATATTAAAGCAACGATTTAATAAGTAAAATTTATTAATAATAATAATAATCATCTGTAAATAAAGTTTTTAATTTAATATATTTTACCAAAATTCTTTTTGGCAATTGATTTATACTTTTCTGAAGTTCCGAAGTATTTATATTTATTACATACGGTATTTTATTTTTGAAATGTCACAAGATGAATGCAAAAAATATTTGAGATTTCTAGGTAAAGGTTTAATAGTATTACTTTGCCAAATATATCTTATATTATAGTTATATATATATATATATATATATATATATATATATATGTATGTATGTATATCTTAATTATTACATGTTCAATATGAATATAATTTATAATTTAAGAACTTGATGCTTATGCAAAAATAGTATCAGCTTTAAGAGCTCAAGGTCCATTAACCGAAGTAAAACAAAAGTTATTAGAAAATTTAGCTACAGTTCTTCATATATCTAATGACCGGCATCAGGCAGAAATTCGAAGGGCTGTAAACGATGATAAACTGTCAATAATAGCAGAGAAGTATGATCTTTACATTATTTAAAATTTTTTTATTTATAATAATTTACATTTTAACATCAGATTATTTGGACCAAATACTGATACTGAATGGACTGTGGAAGGTCGTAGAATAATTCCTCTTTTGACTAGATTAAAAGGTCGTACAGCATTTACAACATTTGCTAACAGTTTGTCATTAACTACTGGTATTGCTAATGAAAGACAGCCACAGTTTCAAAGACAAAAAGATGGTTTGAATACAACTCTATAAATTCATAAGAATATAAATTTCATAAGAAAATAAAATTTCTCTACGTATTGGAAAACAATTCCTGACTAATAAAAAAATAGAGTTAAAAAATGATAGAGCTCTGAAAATTCTTAATTATTTCATTATTTAAATATATAGTATTTTTAATACATAAATGTTTCGTATTTCTAACCTATTTTTAATCTGTATAAAGACTTTAACCATGATAATTAATTAATCAAGTATATTATTTAGTTTACAAAATTTTTATTAATTTACATTGAAAAATTATTAATAAATTGTTATATTAACATGTTTTTATTGTTTCATACAAAAAATGCAATATATAATATACAAAAATCATATGAAATAATTATTTATATTTTTCTTTAATTCATTAATAATATAATGTAATATAAAAATTTAGTGGTTATTGAATATAATTTAAATTATTAAAATATAATTGTAAACAATTAATATTTCAATTAATTAAGTGATAAAGATATAAAATAACAGTATATTGATTTATAAGTATAAAAAAATACTTAGTAGATTAATACATTATTTATTAATACATAGATTATTGATTTAAAAAATTTAAATTAAAAGATTAATTAAAAAATACATTTTTTATAGTAAAATTTGAAAGTGAATCTTATTATGATTCTAAATTTGGCAAGAAAATATTGAATAATGAAGGTGAGAATTCATTTACATCTAGAAAAAGGAAGAGATTATCTCAAGAGGTAATTAATTTATAATATTTAATTAATATTTTATATTAACTAAATTATTTTAATTAGATTTCAGCTTTAAATAATGGTATATATACACATCCAAGTACAAGTGACAATAAAATTAGTATAAAAATTTTAAATAGTACAAAATCATTTTCACCAACACGGTTGATTATGGATCAGGTATTAACTTAGATATTAGAAATTTTAATACTTTAAAGTTATGAATCTTATTATTTAAACATTATGCTTATGTTTAATTCTGTATAATTTATTCTATTAAATTTTTTATTTTTGCAGTGTACAACAAACAGACAAAAGATAGAAAATAATAAATTAGACCAATGTCGTAAACATCAAAATAGAGATATTCGAAAATTGTCTTAACTGCAAACTTTATTATTAGTCATTTGTAAAGTAACTATGTATTTAATTAAATAGGAGGTTTTTTAATCTAAGCATTATCTTAATTAGTAGAAATTGAATATTAAAAGAATTAAATTGAAATTATTTGTATAGATAGTTGATTTACTACACATATTATTAAAACTTTAGTTTTTTAAATTATCTAATTAAAAAATTTGAAATATTTTTTAATAAAATACATTATTAAATTTATTATTGTTTTGAACAACAACGATCTATTTTGTAGATATAATAATAATAGTATTTTAAATTACAGATAATATTTTGTTACTATACTTATTAAACATACACATTCAAAAATATTTATTTTAACGAACGTTATATTTAAAAAATAAAAACTAAAATAAATAATAAGTTTGAAATAGAGCTCATAATGATCTCTCTTAATTGTTTTATTAAAATTTAAAGAATCCTAGAAAATATTAAAATATATAAATAGAGAAGTTTAAAAAAATTAATAAATTTAAAATAATAAAATTCTTAATAGAGTACATTTACTATATTGTTGTAAACAAACATACCGTATTGTTTAAAAATATTATAATTTAATCTCAAGTTGTAAATAGAACATTAATATAGAATTATGTAAAATAAGTAATAAATGAGAGACTTAGTTAAAAAATTAAATAGCTACGTTTGGTATACATATAATTAACGCAGTAAATATTAAATATATCAGTAATTAATACCTTATGTTGTACTCATACAATATATACATAGTTTAGAACAGATTATTTAAATATATGTTTAAACAATTATAATTAAAATATATTGGTACAAAGTATTATAAGTTTGCAAAGTCAAAATATTTAAAAAATATCTTCTATTTTTAGAGAAAAATTTATTATTAAAGTTGAATTAAAATAAAATTATTAATTGCTAAATATATTCCAAAACGAATGCATATTAAAAGAATTGTACACAGTAATAAACAAATTTTACAAAAAAATATAATACAAAAAAAAATTTTATTAAGAATCATAATTTTTAAAACTAAAATGAATATACACATAGTAAATATATAAACTTAATTTCATTTGTATAATAAAAATTAAAAATTTTCCAAATTCTTTTTCACATATATCATTGACTAAGCATTAACAATTGTGAGATAAAAACAAAATAATTCAATTATAAAGTATTTATAGCAAAGGTAATTTAAATTTTTGGTAAAGATTTTTAGATCATATACATATTAAACAATGCAGAGTTTCATTAAAATATTAAATTTATATTTTTTTTATAAATTTGCGTTAATATTATTGTTGAAATTCGATATTCATTGTAAAATAATGTCAACCTTAAGATACATATATCATTAAGATGAATAAAGTATATTAAATTATAAAGGTTTTTTAAAAAAAATTAAAGCACTTGCATGATATAGCTATAAAATATGAGAATTTATTATTGAATTAAAAGTATTAAATATTTTCATAAAATTATTTTTTTTATAAAATATTTTTAAGTGAACATATTATAATATAATTTTAATGATATGGTAGTTATATTTACATTTCAGATATTCCGAATTAAATAATATAATAATATTAAATGTTTGAATTTTCTGACCTTTAATACAAATTTTAGTATATAAATTCAATTGCATAAAACATTTATAAAATATAATTTATTTTATTTATATTCTAATTATCACTTATTTATTATGTTCTCTGATATATGATCAATATTTTATACTTTATACTTTATACTTCAACCAATATATTATTTGATAAATAATAATATAAATAGTAATCAATAATTTTTTATTATGAAAATGAGATTCGCAATTCATTGATTTAAATTAATCTATTTCTTATTTGATTTGAAATTTAAGTACCATAGTAAATTACTATTGTATATACACATAATGACAAATTGTGCTTGTAATTATAAAATACTTTGAACCTATTTTAAAGAGTATTAAATTTAGATCTATCTAAGATAGCTAAAAGAATGAAATATTTTATCATATGCATATAGAATTTAAGGAGCTTTAATAATTGAAATTATTTTTTATTTTTAAAATACGCGCTTTACATACTTTGCATATGTAAAAGTGTAGCCAACATTAGGAGTACCTGAGAACATCCAAGTTATCTAATGGTATATAGTCATTTTAGTTTTGTCATATACTAAGTAAATACAGCCTGTTCGTTATTAAATGCCGAATTTATGATCATTTTTTAATCTTTTTGCAAATTTATCTCTTATTATAATTAGTAAAAAATATATTTTTAAGTGATTGATACTTAAACATTAAATTTTAATATAATATGCAGTCGACAAACCTTGAAAATCAGAGCGCAATAATCGATATTAAAGGCGCGCAGGATGGTGTATTAAATTTGTGCGAAAATTTAGAATTGTGGATGACTTATCTTCCTTCAAAATTACGAGGAATTCCCATTATACATCTGGCTATTCCTGGTAATTTAAATATTGTATAGTTATTTTAAATTAAAAGAAAGAATAATAAGTGAACAATTATTGTTAATGGTATCGCGCTTTACTAAACGATTATAAATAGTAATTAAAATAATATAAATTAAAAAATATTTATTATATATTAATTTACAACTGATTGTATTTACTTAGACTTTTGCATAGTAAAAATTATTTATATGAACATAGATTACAAAATTTTATAAAAATAATATTAGAAAAATAATACGTAATATGTGAATTATTATAATTTTGTTATAACAATTTATATTGTATATATGTTTATTTTAAATTATTAAGTTTTCAAAAAATATGCATTTTAAAGATTATTATTCTTACGAAAGTACATAAAATTTAGTAAAAATATTATAATTTTTTAATAATTCCATAATATACATGAATACTTTAATATAATTATAAAAAATTAAATTTTAATAAATTTTAATAATAAAATTATATACTAATAACATATTAATATAAAAAATTAGAAGCTTTTATAATAGTTGAATTACTAGATTTTTTGTTGTACAGTTATTTAAATATTACTTTTTAATTTTTACTAATAAATCTGAAACTACCAATAATGAAATAATTCCAAATTCAAATAAACACTACTTGCGAAATAATTTAATTTTTATAAAAAAATTAATTTTATATAGAATTGTATTAGAAATTTTATTAGAAACTTTTCTAAATTTAATTTCATTTAACTCTTGTTTTATATTTTAAGATTATCTCAAAATTCATTAATTTGCCGAATACAGTTCAAAAATATATATTTTTGCCCAAAAAACTAAATAAATTTTTAAGTCAATTCATTAAATAGTTGCATAGGAAATATATACAGTGAAATCATCACACGATATTTCGTGCTATCAATTAAAAATAATTTTTAGATGCTTTTTAATTTAGAAACTAAATTAAAATTCAATTTTAGATTAAAAAAAAAATTAATATGCAATTGATGTATAATTATATTTTGCTTTACAAAAGTATACATTACAATGATAATCTGTATAATTATTATTAAATTTTATATAATGTTATTAAAGTTCTATGAATTTAAACATTTGTTGATATTAACTAAAAACAACACTGGAAAATATTTCAATAAACTAATTGTATCTATCTATGTAATAAAAATAATTAATCTTTATTATTGTATGTATATTTCTACATAATATTATCAATTAAGTTTATTAATAAAATACCAACATTTTTATCGTTCAAAATTAGATATTATCAATTATTATTTTTTTTAAATAATACTTTTTTTTAATTTAATAACTGTTTATCAAATACTAATATGAAACAGGTTCACACAATAGTATGACTTGTACTATTGAGAAAAATAATTGTATTGGACCAGATGAGCCTGCCTTAATAAGAGCTGTGGGTAAATATTTTTCAGTCATAGCTAAACCAGTCATTTTCAATTGGTCTGTTAATCAAAACAAAAATATTAAAGAACAGCTTAATGGTGGCATAAGATATTTGGATTTACGCATTGCAACGAAAAATAATGAGGATAATATTTATTTTCTTCATGGTCTTTATGGAGCTGAAATTATAAATCCACTTCAAGATATCGCGGATTGGCTTTCAATACATCCAAATGAAGTAGTCATAATAGACTTTCAACATTTTTATAATTTTAATGATTATCATCATTGTACTTTAATCAATCAAATAAAGATCATTTTTCAGGGTAAAATATGCCCTATGTACAATAAATTAGAGCACATTTCACTACAATGGTTAAACTTGAAAAAATTTCAAATTTTTATTATATACAGAAATATTATTGCTCGTAATTACAATGATTTATGGTCTAGTACTTTATGGCCAACACCTTGGCCAAACACCGATGATACGCTAAAACTTATTAATTTTTTAAATAATGGTTTACAAAATCGTATGCATGATGTTGGATTTGTTTCTCAATGTTTATTAACACCCGATTTTTCTTATATTATGCGACATATTTGTAGTAATTTAAAGGATGACCTTAACATAAAATGCAGATTAGCTATATTACCTTGGATTAAAGAAAATTCACCTGGAACTGGAGCAATGAATATAGTTATAACTGATTTTGTATCTTTAGATAATTATTTGTTTTCACGATTTGTAATTCAACGTAATTTAACTTTACTAGGATTAAATTCTTGTACTACTTCAATGCTTTATTTAAAAGTATAGTAAAAAATATATTGATAATAAAAAACCAATTTCGTTAATTTTATAATGCAAATTTTTTATGAGTAATACTCAAAAACAAATTTATATTGTAAATGGTTATGCAACTTTAAGAAATATTTGGATATTATTGGTACCTAAAATGTATTATAATAGACTGTTTATACAATAAATTTACAATAAATTTTCATTGTTGTACTTAAGAATATGGTGAATGGGTAATGGGTTAAAAATAAGTGCGAATCAAATTTGTAAAAGTATTTATTTACTTCATGTACTTCATTTTTTCATTACTTTTATTACATACATATCAAATTTTATAATTGGGTCATCAATTAAAAAGATACAATTTACTAATATTAAATACAAGTATACTGTTACAAAATAATCTATAAATAAATTAGTTTCATTGTATTTTTTATTGAAAACATTCCATGATTTTACTAGTCTGTAATAAAAAATCATTTTAGTAATAGTAACACAACTCATTGAATACAATTTAAACTTATATATGTAATAATTAACAGTGTTACAAGCAAAATTTATTGTATCTATGTAACTTAATTAAAATTGCAATTGTATTTTATAATATATTTATCTGCAAAAGAAAATATGGTTAGGTACTGAAATAAAATATAAATTTTATCAATTTTATTACTCATTATAAAGATTTTTATTAAAGATAAAATTGTAATAATTACAATTTTATAATATATGAATATTTATATGTACAATAAATTATATAAAGTGTATTTATGAAAATTAATCTATGGTATAAGTAATTATTTGTAATATTTAAAACAATTCTATGGACCAAAATAAATTAATCAATTTTTTAAATCAAAACACAAATTATGTAATAATAATTATGAGTTGTTTCTAATAATGGAGGTATACATCTCTTGTATACAATATATATATATATATATATATATATATACAGTATTAATGTATAAATAGATTATGTTATTTAACGAGTGCAGTAGTAAATTAAATGAAAATTTAGTAAATAAACAGTTTCAATATACTAATGTCACAATATATTATAATTATTATCATACCAACAAAAACTATAAGTATAAAATGTATTTCTTTAAGTGCTTTTTAAAGGTCATAATGCATTAACTTTAAGTTGTTTCATTCTTGGTGCTCTTTTCTTAGCAAGTCTACGTTGCTCCTTTTCTTCCCATTTTCTGTGCTTACCTGGATCATCCTCTTGAAGGATACGCTTTTTTTCTGCTCGTCGACGTTCCTCACGTCGTGCAGCAGCTGCTTCTGCACGTGCAGCATGTGTAGTTTTTAAAAAAGCTTCTTCTACTTTTAGTCGATTTTTATCAGTCTTACTTTTACCCTGTAATTGAAATTATTTTATGTCGTAAATATTATTTTTATAATTTTATTTTTCAAATCTTACTTTTGATAAATGTTTCAATTGAAATTGATTATGAATTTCATATAAATTTCTTTAAAATCTAAGTATATTCAAGGTAATAATACAATTATTAATAATAATTGTATTTAATTTATAATAAAAATTAATACAATTGAAATTTTCTAAAATGCTGGAGAATATAAAAGGCTTATTTCTAATAAAAAAATGTATAAATAAAAATTCTTCAAGATACTTCTACTTTGTAATTTGAAAACTGAAATTCTAAAAATCATTTTTCAAAATGTACATTAATTGTATTGTCATAGACTGTTTATTACATTTATATATAAATATATTATATTATCTACATATAAGATAGAATAATTTTTAACAATAAATTACCTCTTTTGAAAGTTTAAATCGACGCAATTTATCTAATATGTAAAATGTTAATTGAAGTAAAGGTCTAACTTTTTCTTGATTTTCAGCTTTATTTATATGACCTTTAATACTAATATTTAATCCAACAAATAAAACTTTTTTTACTTCAGGCATGGTCAATTGAGTAACATCTCTGTAAATTATATAATTAAAAAAAATGAAATCTAAATATTTATAAATAGAAGTTTCTATAACTTACTCTTGTTGTTTTGGCCCACTATATTGATCACTTATATGAATGTACTCAATGTAATTTGTATATTTATTGAATGCTTGAAGAACTTTATTGTCTAAAATAGCAGAAGCAGCTTCAGAAATTTCAGACATAACATAAAATCCTGATGGTAAATTAAATTTTTCTCCAGACCGTTTTTCAGGACAATAAACACTTATATCTGCCATATCTTTAGATAAATGTATTGCAGTTTTTTTAGCTGCTATAGCTAAGACAAAATTGTCAGTCTCATCTTTGCCTAATTCAATTCGTAGATGAGCTTGATCATTCTGTGGACGAATCAATTGTGATAAAACAGCCACTAAATCCTGCCTTTTTATTAATTTCAGTTCTATTAATAATGAATCACAACCAATTCGTCCAGAGCAATATATACTATACTGAGATTCACTTTCTTTAATAGGTCCATTGATTATACTTTCATCAATAGACTTGCCAGTATCTCCAACTAATGAAAAATTTTCTACAAGAATTTGCTTATTATCAATATACCACGTTTCAGTAATATGGTAATTTTTTGATTTGCCTGCAATATAATTTATAAAGTAAACTAATAAACCTGCTATCATTAAAATTTCAAGATAAAAACTATCCCATCTTGCTCGCAAATGTAATGGAACCTTAGTAATTTTCAATGTTGATGGTTCTTCAATTCGTATATCAGAATTTCCTACAGTTACATCTAATCCTTCAAATTCTTCTTCATCCTGAAAGTGATCAAATTCATTATCTATATCTTCTATTGAAATATCATCTTCTTCATAATTATTAACTCTTTCTATATTTTCGAAATGTGATGAAGAATAATCAGATGTTGAAACAGTTTCTCTATTTGGTTTTTCTTCCTCAAAATCTTCAAATTCTGCAAATTCATTATCTTCTATAGGTTCTTTTTGAAAATGAGCAGTCACCCATAAATTTGTTCCTACTAAAACAATGTGAAGAACAACTAACCACAACTTCATTTTACCTAGAACCTATTAAATACAATAAAAAAAAATTTAATTATTTTTTATAGTGTTTATTAGAGTTATATTAACAAATAATATTTTGACTTCTATTAAATAAAAAGATCTTGTACATCAATATTCTTAAGAATTACAGAATACCCATTTAATTTTTTAATAAGCATTATTTTATTTGTGTTCGTTAAACGGATATAAAATATTTACTTAATTTTACATTTTTATTAAAAAAAAAAAAAAAATTATTTATATAAAATAAGGTGTACTTAACCTCAACTAAAAATACAAATAGTAAAAAGAGTACAAAGTTACATAGTGTTAAGAAAAATTGAAGCTATATTAATTTCGTCAAAATACAATAGAATCAAATAAAATCAAATTATAAATCACAAAATAGTACAATATAAATAATGGATATAATTAATTAGTTGAATTTTAATGGTAATAATTTACATCCGATTAACATATATACAATTAAAAATATTATTCAAATTTTTAAGACTAACTTTTTGATTAATTCAATTTAACACTTGTTACTTATTCCATAATATATTCAATAATCTTCAATTCAATAATCTAGTTTTCCTGTTATACATACTATGATATTTTTTACGTGGGTCATAAACGTGGTTTTAAAATACGAAATTTTTACGAATTTTAGGAAAACTGTATTGTACAAGAGTACTTTTTTCTTGAATATTTAAATTCAATTAATATAATAAACAAATTTACAAACTATTTTACCATTTTTTTAACATTTAAGTATTAAATAGTTTAAGTCTTAAGAATATTAAATATTAAATACCATTATTTTTTTTTAATATAAGACTATTAATTTTTATATTAATTGTATTTTATTATTAAACTTGAATATGTTTAAGTAATATGTATTATATTTATATACTATAAATATAATACATGTTTTACGGGACGTAATTTTATATATATAAATTTTTATTTTCTTTTATATATAACAATGAAATTATTGATTTTAACGTTTTTTTCAAACAATTTAGTCCAATAATTAATATTTATAATGGACAAACATGTTTGTACAATTTATATTAGAATTTTATGCAAATGAAATCAGTATTATAAAATTATTAAAACATTTATTTAATTTTATGTTGCAAATATATAAACATTTATTGGAATTATTCTTAAAATATGTAAAATATGAGATTAACTTAATTGAAATATTTCTGAAGTGAATAATTTTTAATATTGCATAATATAAGTTATTTGCAATTTATATTATAGTAAGATATAAATTAGTGCCATTTACGACTTCAAATATTAAATAATTGTTGTTTATAGAATATAAATTAGTTGTAAAATGTATGTTGAATTTATATATATTAAATATAGTATTTACAAAATAATAATTTTAATATTGGTTTAATTACTTTATCTCAATTAAATATAGTAATAATGTTTCAATTACTTGGAAAATCATTGAATAAAATAATAGAAATATATAATTTAAATTAATTTCAGATTTTTTAAATTGTAACTGTGATTAATTATTTGATTCATAAATGTATTAAATACATTTATATACAAATTTTGTATAAATATTACGTTTTATGAATAAAGATTATGTGTAAGTATAAAAATATTTTTAAAAAATGTTAAATTACCGTATAGTATAGAGTAATAATTAAAAGAATTAATATTATATTCGAAGTTCATTATTGATCATCTAGTTGAAAAATCGAACAGACATCAGATTTTTAATTCTCTTAGATCACTGAGAAAAATTTGAGTATTTAACAATGAATGAATCGTTAATTAGAGGGAAATATACAAAACAGTTGCTTGTGTGTTATCATGGCAAAGCGCATGTTCCATGTTTATTATAATAAGCCCGTGAAGTTATACTATTCGTAAAATATCTATTTGTATTACTGTATGATATACAAGAAATAATATACATAGCGTGTTTGCAATATATACAACTACGAAAATTTATTTACATACTCATTAATTAATACCAATTTATTCGAATTCAAATCTAAAGAAAAGCAATCTTAGATTAATTGTGAATACATTGACTCGAAACAAAATTTGCAATTTTGGTCTGGAAGATCAATAATTCATTAAAGTAGTGCAAATGAATGTTTATAAAGTTTCTTGAATTTGACAGTGAAACAACGAATCAATATTACACATTTGAAATATTTTTTATTAATTATTAAAAAATACATTACATATTCTCTTATAATTTTGACCAACATAGCGACATTTTAAATCTGTATGTAAATTTATTAGTACATTATTAATAAATTCAATTTAAACATTTTTAAGTTATTCATTTTTTAACCTCTGTTTAAAACTTTAATAGAGAATAATGGAGAAAATAGAGAGTCAACCCAAATCTGCTAAAAAGAAAAGTAACAAAACATTTGTAGATGTAATTACACAATGTGTTCAAGTAGTAGTACGGTGTCGTCCAATGGATGAAAAAGAAATATCTCGAAATTTTACAAAAGTTGTAGAAATAATTCCTGCAAAAGGAGCTGTAGAAATTCGTAATCCTCGGGAAGATGTAAATAAAGAAACTGTTAAAGTGTTTTCATTTGATTCTGTGTATGATTGGAATTCCAGTCAACAAGATATATATGAAGAGACAGTACGTCCATTGGTTTCTTCTGTACTTGATGGATTTAACGGTACAATATTTGCATATGGACAAACTGGAACTGGGAAAACTTATACAATGGAAGGTTCTAAAAACCATATTGATAAACGTGGTATTATTTCTAGATCATTTGAACAAATATATACTCAAATTGGAAGATCAAAAAATATTCAGTATCTTGTAAGAGCCAGTTATTTAGAAATTTATCAAGAAGAAATTAGAGATTTATTACATCAAGATCAAAATTTACGTTTTGAATTAAAAGAAAAGCCTGATACAGGAATTTTTGTAAAAGATTTATCAAGTTCTGTTTGTAAAAATGCAGAAGAAATTCAGCATTTAATGAATATTGGAAATCAAAATCGAACAATAGGAGCAACAAATATGAATGAACATAGTTCAAGATCACATGCAATATTTATTATTACCATAGAAATGGGAGATAACTGTGGAATTAGAGTTGGTCGTTTAAATTTAGTTGATTTAGCAGGGAGTGAAAGGCAAAGTAAAACAGGATCATCAGGGGAAAGATTAAAAGAGGCTAGTAAAATTAATTTGAGTTTATCTGCTCTAGGAAATGTTATTTCAGCTTTAGTGGATGGAAAAACTTCACATGTACCATACAGAGATTCAAAATTAACAAGATTACTTCAAGATTCATTAGGTGGTAATTCAAAAACAATAATGATAGCAAATATTGGTCCTGCCAGTTATAATTATGATGAAACTCTTACCACATTAAGATATGCTAGTCGTGCTAAAAGCATTAAAAATAAACCTAGAATTAATGAAGATCCTAAAGATGCATTACTTAGACAATATCAAGAAGAAATTTTAAGACTTAAAGAAAAATTAGTACAAAAAGGTCCAGGACAGCGAAAAAAACGAAAGTCTAAAAAGAAAAAAGAAACTGAAAATGATGAATCAGAATCTGAGACAGAAGATAGTCATGAAGATAATAATAAAATTTCAGAAACTGATAAAAAATTGATAGCAGAACAATTGATAGTTGAGAAACAAGAAACTGAAAATTTAGTGCAGAGAATAAAGGAACTAGAAAGCAAAATGCTTTGCGGAGGTAAAAATATTATTGATCATACAAACGAGCAACAACGAGCTTTGGAACAGAGAGCCACTGAAATTGCTGAACGCAAAAAGCGTGAAGTAGAAATGCAACAAAAGCTTGAAGATGAAGAACTTACTACTTTAGGTGTTCGTGAAACTTTTACAACTTTACAACAAGAAGTTGATGTCCAATCTAGGAAATTAAAAAAATATTATGCAAAATTACAAGTTTTAAAACAGGATTTAGATGATGTCACAAATGAGTACAATAGGGATAGAAGAGAGCTAGAGCAAACCCAACATGAATTAATGAAAGAATTAAAATTAAAATGTCTTATTATTGATAATTTCATACCAGTTGAAGAAAAACATAAAATTCTCTCTAAAGTAAGGTTTGAAGAAGATGAAGATTGTTGGATAATAAAAGAATCAGAATGTGCAAGTGTTGAAAATATTAAACGACCAGTTTCTGTTCCTGGATTAAGAAGACCAATAACTGAATATTCACGTACTGCTTTGGCAATGGGTAAGGGTTATCGATATGCTAGTGAAAATATTCTAAATTTAAAATTAGATATGCCTGTTCGCACAACATTTGATTACCAAAAACCTGTAATTGCACCTACAATTCAAGCTGTATTGGAGAAAGCATTGTGTGATGAAGGGGATATAGATGTAGATGCTTCTAATGCAAGTTTTAGAACTAAATCACAATTGCAATCTGCACGAATTCGTCCTAAAAGTGTTGGTAGAGTTCAACAAATACCAGCACCAGTATATCCTAAAACAAGAGGATTAGTCCCAAAATAATAATGTATTATTCATAATACATTCATAATTAATATTTACTTACAAAGAAACAAATTTTTATGAATCTATATTATTTGCTAATGATTATTTCATTGTGATATCATTTTTTATTGGAAATAATGTGTTTGAAATAAAAAATAAATAAATAACTAATTCTGTTATTTAAAAGAAGCATTAGTGTAATTTGTTAAAATTTAATTCAGTATATAATGAAATTGAGATTTGTTTCTTTGTTCAAAATTATAAAAAGATGTGCTGATACTCTTTTATATAGGTAGTTATAAAAATATTGTTAAATATTTACCAATTCATTTTTTAATATAATCATAATTAATTATACAAACCAGTACTTTGTATGAAATATTATATACAATTCTGTGCTATTTATCAAAAATCTCATTTATTGATTTTATAAGATTAATTTAAAAACATTCCCTAGATTTTATTGCATATTAATATTTGTATTTATATAAATAAGGTTATATTATATAAATTATATATAATATTATATATAACATAATATAAATAAGGTTAAAGATGATGAAATCAATAAGTATTATTTTAGATTGAAAACATTAACTTGATTGCTTATTCAGCAATTTATATTTTTTATTCCAATACTGTGTTACTAAAAGTTTCTAGTCAACTTCTACCAAATAAGCAATAACTTTGTTTTACTTATTTTTATTTATATTATATTGAAGAAAAATAATTCGTTTAAATTAAATGTTTATTAATTTTTAATAAATTTGATAATTTATATAATTAAAAATGCAGTGAAAGAACATTCATTTATTTAAGAAAATTCATTGTCAAAGGACAAAATACATGAAATTGATATTAAACAAATATTTAAAAACAATATAACATTTTAATGAATTTTATTATACTTTGTTTGAAGAACTAAAATTTAATTTAAAATCCAACATTGTACTCAATAATATTTAATGTTAATTTAATAATTTAATTGTAATGTTAATAACACTATTAATGATAATATAAAGAAACGATAAATTGATATAATGTACTATTAGACTGTTAATAAATTATGAAGAATATTAATAAAAGATCATACAAATATATAAATTTTGTGAAAGGTAATGATGTAATTAGAATTTTCAAATATATTTTTTCAAAGTTTTATACAAGTATGTTCATATAAAATATATTAAATATTTTAAGTAATAATTTCTGCTGTGGTTCAACATATATTTATTATCTATTACATATTTTTAATAAGCTTGCATTTATTTTAGTTGAATTCGCGTACTCCTATTTACTTTTTTTACCATTATCTAAAGAATGTGACATTTTTTCACATTTACATCAGAAAATTAAATCGTATATTAAAAATATACGTTTTCCATATGAAATACAATATTAGTTTTTTTATACAATTTTGATTACATTAATTATAAATACAAAAATGTAATTATTTTCTCAAATTATCAAAGATATATTTTCAGTATCAAATAATAATTGAATATCTGCAATAATTTGGTTAAAGTCAATTTAACTAAGGACATTATTTTTGGAAATTGAACAGGTTTTAATTAGTTTAATTTTATTTTTACAATAATCAATTGTTTTACATTATTAATAAATATTTTAGATATAAAATACATTAAATCTAAAACTATAAATATCTTTTTTCATTTTTTTTTCATTCTATAACTGCTCTATCGTTCGATATTTCAAGAAAAAAAAACAGTTGACTCATTTCTTTTTTCCCATTCTCATTCTCATTTTAGTTTTAGTTCATTATGATTTTAATTATAATATCAATTGTTTAGTTTCGGAATATTTGGCATAGAAAAGCGAGTGCAAGATCAATATAAAGATCTTTTGCCAAAGCTGCAAATGTGAGAATATATGTTTTTTGTAAATGAATAAAATAATGAAAATAATTACATCTGTATGCAAATGTATTGTAGTAATTATTTAAATTATAATTTTTTTATGAACAATCAATTACATACAGATATATAAAACATAAAATTTACAATGGACTTTTATAAATATAAACAATTTCGTGTCATTCCAATTGAATTTCTGATTTTAAGAAATTTTACTTATACTTTTATTACGTATTTAGTTCTGTTTTATAAAATTGAATTATTTTATATTTTTGTTATTAAATACTTAAATATAGATGTTACAATATTTGAAAAAATATGAATTTTTTATAACTTTTATTCAGTTTTTATGCAAATTAATAAATACTTCAAATCTATAATACATTGTATTTTCTTTTTAATTTGATTATAATTGTATTAAAATTTAACTTTGAAATGAAATTTTAATTTTGAATTGTGGTAATTTTAATTCTAAATTTGATATTATGGTTTTAAATAATATTCATATATATAGTTATTTAATGATTGAAATATTAAGTTATGATTAAGAGCAGATATACTTTAATATATAATTTTTATATGAAAAGGATTAATTTTAATAGGTACAGAAAATGAAATAATATACATTTTTATTTACTGTTATATATCAATTTTATTTTGTAGTATCACAAAAAAACTTATAGTAATCTTTATTTTTTATAATTGTAATTGTTTCCAGAATTCAGTAAATATTTATGTAGTAACTTAATATTTTGCTGAAATTATATAGATAAATTATTTATTTAATTGGTGAATAAATTATTGTAATTGTGATTTATATATCGTATTTTCACATTTACTATTGTATGTACATATCCTTGCATATTATATATTGATAAACAATGCATGCACAATATTAAAACTTAATTATCAATTATATAATAAATATAACTACATTTATGGTAACATAAACATTTATTACGCTTATCAATTGTGCAAAATATAATTATAGATTTATATATTTAGTATGTACTCGAATGAGTTCGAAGTTTAAATTTTTTAAATCTTATATAACATATAGTTATATTATTTTATATTGATATCATCTATAATTGCATACTTTAATGTAACTATAAAAGTTCATTATGTTTATAATTTTATACTTTATTCCATCTATCATTTTAGTCTAAATAAATTGTTGTAGAACGTATCATTTTATATTTACATAATTATTGCACATAAATTAATGATATAAAAGCTTCTTTTTTCTATCTTTTCATAAAATCATTTTGAGGATTTTATACAATAATTTTACTGATTTTTTTTCAGTAATATTTCTTATTATTACGTCAAAAACTGAATCATATATTCCGATAAAATTGAACGTATTAATTTGTAAAAGAAAATTTAGTTTATATGGAAATATTATTGATTTAGATAGTGAACAAATAATTGATAAAATTATTAGTTAAAAGTATGAATATTAAGTTTCATTAATTCTATATATATGCACATGTGTATTTTAAAATTATATTTAATAAAAATGTAACAGGGTGAAAATTGATTTAATTAAGACATTATTTTCTATATTAATGTAGTTTAATTTGCTCAGTTTCAATTAGAAATTTAAAAATACAATTTGCATCTTCAGTCTATTCTTTTTTAGATAAAAATTCGTAATGTCTGCCTTACAGTAAACATTAATATATAAACATTAAAAATTTGTTTATAATTTACGTTACCACAATTTAGATTATGTAATGTAATTTTATATATATTTATAACATATAATTATAGTTCTTTTAATAAATAAAAAATGTTTTACAAAACATTAATGCTTTGGAGTAAATTACTTATAAAAAAACTTATGTATTAAAGTACTAGGTACCGTAAAAATATTGAAATTTATGTCTGTGATCTACTACAATCTAATTACTTCTCAAGGTTACACTTTTTTCATTAATTGAAATTTCATTCAATGTATACATAGGTGTACCTTTATTCTTTATAATATAATTCATTTTATCTTTTCCTGTATCGTTTTAGTAGATCAATGATTAGCAAATGTAAACTTAATATCTATATTAGAATATTTATTCTTATTTAATATTATATAAGAACAACGTAATCGCAATTCCAGCTTCATTTTGTAAAGATTGATTATTTAATTAATTATAAAGAAAATAATTTACAAGTTTGAATGTAAGACGATACGTAATAAGACAAATTTAATGTATATATAAATATATACATATTTTTTAAGTAAAGAATGCAAAATCCAACCAATATATTATTTTAATACATAAAATACACTAGTACATTGTAAAGATCATTAAACTTTTTTATAGCAATTTGAAAAAATTAAATATTTCAATTAATGTAGATTCCTCAGGTTTAATAACTACATGCTTTTCTCAATAAGTATTTTTAAGAAAAAACAAAAAAAAAATTTAATTGAATATTATTTTCTGTTATCGAAATCATATATTTAAATTTAATATTAAAACTTAAGTTAAAATACATATAATATAGATATAATACAAAATAGAATTATTATTTTACTGTAAATATATTGATGTACCAATTTATAATTGATGTACAATTAAAAACAACAATACAATGGTTATTTGATAAATGGAATACGTATTTTTAAGTTTAAATTTTTAATAAATATGATTTAAGTAATGTTCGAAACTAGGAAATAAATTAGACATATATGAATTTGTACATATTTTATTTGTTAAAATTTTAATATGTGATCTATGAATAAATTGATATTTTTTAAACAAATGTTATTACAAGATTCAAATTCTTTTATAGTTTATATCATAAGCATTTTATAAACATTACTAAATATTTTATTAAATCAATACATTTATTAATATTTATATTTATATTACAGAATGGTTTTTTTTATTAATTTAAGTATTACAATTTTTTTTATTTATTTCTCTATAAATATTTTGTACAATATTTAATACAAGTGTTATTTTTATATTTATTAAATAAAAAAGCAAGTTATATTAATTTAAATATTTATTTTAATTATATTCATTTTTTTTACAAAAACATTTACCTTGATTGCTGCAATATATAATGTTCCAAAAACAGCAAATATCTTCTTGAATACTCCATCATGTTAGCAAAATACCTTAATGTAATTTAATGGCTTTAAAAAATATTTAAACTGTATTTCAAATAAACTTAAATAAAAACTAATAATTAACCTTAAACATTTTAATAATTTGTCTGTACAAAAGATCGTAAGTTTGTTATGCTATAATTGCATAAAATCTATACATTTGTATAAAAAATACACAGATTGTGTATTTAAACTAAAGTTTGAAAAAATTGAGTTTACGAATGAACTTTGAAATGAATCATTATTCATGCATCTTTATTAAACAGATAACGATTCCTCTAATAAAAGTAGATTTTTAATAAATTTTTTTAAAATTTATAGTTTGATGCACATGGCCCCTACAACATCACGATATTCACAATTTGCTCATAATTATTATTTATACGATAAACATTGAAGCTATACTATTTTTTATTAATAGAAATGTTGTTGTTGAGAATAGTTCCCAAATGTTTGTTGTGAATAAGTTGATGAAGGTCTTACACTCTGAGGACCTCCAAAAGATCCTCCATAAGTTGATTGAGGATATGGGTTAGATGGTACTCCACTATATTGATTTTGATTGCCCATACTATTAAAGCCTTGATTGAAATTATTGTAACCATTATTTAAAAATCCAGAATTACTATTATATGATTGTGACTGTTGGTGTGCAAAATTTTGAAATTGATTCCCTGCATAAGACAACTGTGAATTCGTTTGGGATGAATTTAATCCATAATTTTGATTAAAATTATTTGGAATGCTTGATGATGCAGAGCCAGATTGTAAAAGAGAAATTGAGTGTACTTGGTTCTGTAAATGAGAAGTTTCGGAAAGTGGTGACAAATGTGATTTAGATGTATATTTTGAAGGTAAGTCACCCATAATGTTGGCAATTAATCGTTTAGTTTCATTTAAAATAACATTAGGATCACTAGATTTTGAATAGTCTAATTTTTTGAAAGAAGGAGAACGTGACCTTGAACGTGACCAAGACTTAGGCGAGTTCGATTTCGATCTTGAAAATGATCTTTTCTTTGCATTTTCATTAACATTTTTATCCGCAGCTTTGTAAATATCTTCAAACGTATAATCATCATCATCATCTGATAGATCTAGTTTTGATTTAGACTTATCATCAATTTTTTTTCTTTGTTCCTCTTCCTCCTCATCAGCAAATATATCTAACTTTGGTTTCCATTTATTTTCATCATCACAAGGATTATGATTACCTTTTCGAGTTGAAAATGGAGAGACACTTTTTCGAAAATTATGGGATGATTCTTCACGTTCTTTAACAGGGGATATCGGTTTTAATGTAGGCGAATTTGAAGCAGATCCTAAATTTACATAAGCTCTAAGTTTTTCAACTCTTGTAGAATCTGTTGCCTCTAGTTTCTTCAAGAAACTAATTAAACCATGCTGTTCTTCTGTAGTTAGTTCTTTGAAATTTTGTAAAAGTGCCTTTAAATCAACATCTGATAGGCTTTCCATTTTAGCCACGTGATCAATTGTTTTTTCTGGTTCGGGCGTTTTAGTTCGAAAACTATTACTAGAATCTTTATTAGCATTATTCGTTAATCCTTTGACAAAATCAGCTGTAGTAACTGGTTTATCACAATTTTTGGAAGCTTCCGCCATACCGACTACAGCATTAATTAAAGTTTCTAATTCTTCTTGGGATACATTAGTCCTACCTTGAGCTACTAATGCTGCTGCAATTTGCTGTGCAATAGCTATTTTATCTACAGTACCTACACCAGGAACACTCACTGGTTCAGACTTTCGACTTGGCTCTATTTCAATTGTTCGTGAATATAATGATCTTGTCATAAAACTCATAGATCTAGATCTTTCCAATAACTCCTTTTGTCTTCTCTTTTCTTCTTCAATTTTCTTTTTATTTTCTGTTGCATTGTGAAGTAGACGTGCTATATTCTGAATAGCATTCTTCGTTGGAGGTATTGCTACTTTATCGATCATTCCTACAAGTAAATATAAGTTTAAAATTTTAAACAATTAAGAATTAATTTGTATAAATTTTTCAAAAGTATCGGAAGCCTATTCAAGAAATAATAATCCATTAAATTATACCTGCAAACAATTGACCCTTCAATTTTTCCTTGACAGTTTCAAAGAGAACACTAACTTCTTCATCATATAGTAATTCTTCCGCTGAATTTGGTTTAATTTTTTCAGTTGCCAAACCCTTTGAGAGTAGTGATACTATTTTGGGTCCTAACGAACCTAATTGACCTTCTAAAGCAGTAAGCAATCTTAGTAACCCAATTATTTCTAAGTCCTCTATCATCTCTTCTTTAGGTGGACTTGGAGATTTATTATGATCAGTAATTGGATAGGGTGTTGCATGATATCTTGGCCGAATTGGACGTGACATCGATGGCAGCGGCACATAATAAGGCTTGTAACTATTTCGACCACCTCGTGAATATGCATAGTACTCTCGATCTCGGTCTCTTTCGCGTTCTCTCTCTCTTTCTCGTTCTCTCGCTTCGCGATCGCGTTCTCTGTCTCTTTCACGATCTCGTTCACGATCACGTTCACGATCACGCTCTCTGTCTCGCTCTCGATCTCGTTCTCTATCTCGCTCACAATCTCGTGTACCAAAGCGATCATGATACCTATCGTTGGATTTTGGAATACTTTTTAATGTTCCCACGTATTCAACCTCATTGTCACTCTCAGTTTTTAGGTTTATGCTGGATTTTTTACAAATTGGTGATTTGTCCTTGCGTTGATGTAGTACAAATGAAGGGATATCCCCCATAAGGTCGAGTTTTTTTTTTATATCTTCCTTACGAAATTCCAATTGTTCCGAATGTATTTCACGCATTCTTTTGTTCCAATACTCTATCCATTCAGGCTTAAAGTCATGTTTACTGGGATCCTTTCCATCTGCTTGCAATTCTTTGTATCTTCGATTCCAAAATTTTTTCCATTCATCTGGATAAGCAGGATGTTTTTCTGGATTTTTCTCATGGAATTTTAATTGTCTTTCCAATGATTCTTCAGCGCGTTTTACTTGATCCTTATATTTCATCCACCTACTACGATCGCCTGAACGGGATCGTGCTCTCGTATTTGACTTCTGATTATTACGATATCTATTATCTCCGGATGTGTTTTTTTGACCCCGATCAAAAGATCGAGATCTAGAACGTCGTGGTGATGGACTACTAGAGATACTAGATAAAGACGATAGAGATTTTACTTCTTCTAAATCTAAATTATCTTTTGATTTCTCACATTTGTCAGGCTTTCTTATAGCATTTAATTTTTCCTTTGTTAAAATGCGTATTTTGAATCCACTATAACATAAAACAAAAACAAAAACAAAAAAATATATATATATTTATTTCCAATAAATTTATATACAAGTTTAATATAATTACATAAAACTTATGTATAAATCAAATAAATCAAACAACTAAGTGAAATATTTTTCTATTAGATGCTTCCAGATTTCATTAGGTAAACTGAATATTTTTAAAAATATTCCTAATGATGTTTTTAATTTATTTTTAATTTATAAAAAATGATTCAAACCTTTTCTAAAATTTAGGTTAAATTATTTTAAATTTTGTTGAAATTTCAAAAATATAATAATTACACATAGGAATTATAATATATACATATATATGAATAAAAATATATTAAAATTATTCTTCAAAAAGTATTATTTAAAACAAAATGTTTTTTATGTTAATATATAAATAAATTATCACAAAAATATTTAATAAATATAATCAAGCTTTTTAATTATACTATATATATATATAATTAAACTATGTAATTGAAATTAAATTACTCATAAATATAAAATAAATAAGCTTACGATTTTGTAATATCTGATTTTGTTTCAGATCTTTTTGTTAAATCCTTAGATAATTTATCAACTGTTCTATCTTCTTTTTTCAATAGTTGTTCTTTATCTTCTTGGTCTTTATATCCAAAAAAGAATTCAATCTTTTAAAAGTACATTGTTTGTGTAAATAAAGTTATAAAACAATATTATACTAACCTTTTACTGACATTTCAGATATTTTTTCTTCAAAATTTGTTACCCAACGCACATCATAAACTTCCATGAAAGTAAGTTCTGATGTTTCCCTGAATATAGGAAACAATTTTGTTGAGTCAAATGAAAACCATAAAAATAATACTATAAAATATATGTACAAATTTACAGTAAAGTAAAAATTTTCTAAATATTGGATATTACCAAATTATAAATAAAATGTAGGAATCTAACTTACCGAAAATGATAATCTTGATGATATATTCTTTTAATTATCTGCACTTTGTTTTTTTCATATTGATTTTTATCTACCAACTGAGGCTGTAATCTGCCAAAATGTTCTTCAATTTTCTTAGCAACTAACACAGAGATTTCATTAGCTCCACGTTTATAATTAACTGTGCGTGGAAGATCTGCTATTGCTCGCGATATTGTAGGAAAATGTCGATTTAAATATGTGATACGATGATTATAACTTGTAATGTGTGCCATAACTGTACGAGGATCACCACGTTTATTACACAAAACACATGTATAGCTCGGTTCAGTACTTTCTGGATCTACCAATTCAAGAAGATATTCTAGACCAACAAGAGGTGAACTCCTATGTCGATCTAGACTCATTTGAATAGTTGTACTTTTAGATATCTGATCTTCCATTCCTGGTGGGATTGGCTCACCTGGTGCCACTTCTCCTATACCTTTTGAACTTTTCTTTACAATGTCAGATCGTTTTGACCATAACAATACAGGATATGGCCATTCTTCTAATTTTATTTTATGTCTATTGCAAATATTGTGATTTATTAATTTATGGGCTCCAAATAAAGCAATATTACAAATGTGACACCAAATATCACCGTCTTCTGTCTCAGAATAGACTGGTCGAAGAGTTCCATCCTCGGCAGTCACACTACTCCTAAGTAATCTTTTACGATCGTGTTCCTCCTGTAGAAAAATAAATAAATTCACTATACAAACAGGATTATGAATTTAACAATACAAAAATTTATTTTTGGTAAAACTAAAATATATCAATATATGATTACTTAAGAGAATAAAAAATAGACTATAATTCATTAGATACTAAATGAATTGTATCACAGTAGTAAAAGCAAAAAGCTTGCCTAGAAGAATAAATGTTGTTGGTAATCGTTGTAAAGCAGCTGATATTCAACACTTTTATTTACTTGTATTCCACATCACAATCACTATAAATTAATTAAAATATTTGCTCACCTCACTAAATTATATTGTTACCTCTGTTTTTTACTTTAATTAAAAAAATCAAAGTAAAACCATTTAGAGGTAAAAATCACACCGTTTGTTTAAAATGTTTACATGGTCATAATTTCTGACCTTCACTGTTAAGTAAATACACAGTTCTAATAATATTACCTTTTCTCTTTCTTCTTCTGAAATAAGGGAAGGATTCCGTCCCTCTATGTCAAGATCATCAAAATTCTGCATGGTTTATCATCAGAATAGAATATCACCGAAATTGTATTCTGAAAATATTCAAGAATATTGTGGTACTAATATAAATAAAATACCAGTAACTCTTTAGATTACAGAACGTTTTATGCGAATTTTAATTCTATGATCGTTACCCATAAAGGTATTATTCATCTAATTATATTTTTTAATAATCAAAACAATAAGTCACAGTTAAAATTCTTTATAAATTACTATTTCATAAACTAATATTAAATAATAACTAATAATAAACTAATAAAATAATAATACAATAAAACAATAAAAAATTTGTGACTTCATTGATTTAATAATTCTATATATTACTGTATTTTATACAATGTTTATTTAATATTATGAAAATTAAAATCTAAGTAATCAAATATTAACAATCATAGTAACTATTTAGGATTATTAAATGAGCAATTAAATACATGAATAATCATATATTATAATTTAAAAATATTTAATAATGTAGATTAATATTAAACGACCAATTAAATAATATTAATTGGATACTTATTTAATTTCTAATTTTACCTATTATAATAAGTTAAAATATTATGTATCTAATTAAGATTTAGAATTATGAAATATATTGGCAACAGTACAAATTAGCATATAAATTCTACTTACCTAAACATATTTTATTAAGTGTAATTTCATAATCTCATTTTTAATCTTTTGAAACAGTATTAAAAGTAAACATAATCAAAACAAGTAAAATAGTATATTCTTAAAAGAATTAAACATCTAGTTGGGTGATATAAATTGAAAATATTCTAAAACAACACATTTAATTTGTATTATACACAATAAATTGTGTACATTTCTGTACGCATAAAATTGCAACAATTTTTATTTGTATATATTAAGTATATAATTTTAATAACTTCAAAACAATATTTTAATGTATTACAACATTTATTTTTAAATAACTAAATCTGATTAAAGTTAAGCCAATAAAAATACTTTCTAAGTAAATTATACTAATTTAAATTATGCTCTTATAAGAATAATATTGCTATATTTAATTTAGTAATTAAATATAATTCTAATATCAGAAATTGGAGAAGAAAATTAAAATTTATAAAATTCAATTTAAAGTTGACAAAGTTAAATGCAAAATTAAACATTTCTTATTAATTGCTGAAAATAATGAATATTAATATATGTTTAATAAAAAAATATATACATAAGAAAACTTATTTAAATAAAACCCTTTGCAAAAATATCAAAATAATCTAAACAAAAAATTATTAAATTACCATTCATTAACTAGCTACAAATCAGTAATTAATTATATACGATAATGTATTAATATTTAATTTAATAAATGCATATTTGTATAATAGTTATAAATATGTATTTTTCAAAATACGTTCAAAATCTTATTATTAATATTTACAAATTTAATACTTCTCAATCATTTTTTTATTAAAATATTTATAATAAGTATAATAAAGTAAGTATAATAAAATTCATTATTAGTTAACCCTTAAGAATTAGTGTGTGCACGTGTATACCAATTTTTAAATGGAACATAATAAATTATTACCATTTACTTACCATGATTTTCTTAAAATTAATTTTAATGTTTTAAATACAAGAAGAAAAGTGCCACAATAAAATCATTTTATATACACTATTTCTATTATGATATAAAATATCAGATCTATTAAAACTTTTTACAATTACATAATTTTTATATAATGTAATATAATATAATGTTATATTGTAGAGATAAGTATGCTACTAATATATATTTAATATTATCATTGAAAGTATTAAATTAATTATAATATTTTAATCAACAATTAAATATATTAAATGATTAAAATAAGTAAACTTCTATTTAAATACAATTTGACAAAAGAATTAATTTAGGATTTATGGTTGTTAACAAAATTTAAGTACCTCCAGCTACTTACCAAAAAAATGACAAAGCTAGGCTTGTTAGCATCTTTATCTCATTTTCATTTCCAAAAGCAACAAACACTAATATCCTGTAGAAAAATATTGTTTAACAAATATGCTGCCAAAAACAAAGTTATACATTAACTTTGCAAATGTATAGCAAGAACACGTAAGTACAATGAATACAAAAATTACCTACAATAATAATGGATAATATAAACATGTACACAACATGTGAATATATTGTTCCATAATTCAAATTGTGAAGAACATCAAATGAAGACTATCTAGAAAAGACACGATGAGTTTTTGGTATGTCATTTATTGAAAATATCGCTGTATATGAACTCAAAAAATAAAGTAAAAAAATAATGTAAATTTTTTTTTAATAAAGTGTATCAAGGATACAAGAATTCTTTATAACAGGTTAAATAGAAATCTCGAATAAATACATATCGAGATTTCAAAAAAAAATTTTTTAATCGCTTAAATATCACTATTTCGTTCTTTTAATGGTACTGTGCTACAACGCGTAAATAAGGCGTAAACCTAACACGGGAATAAGATAAATTTTATGAAGTTCCGAAATACACAAAACCGTCTTCAATGGCGACTACTCAGCCATACCGGTGGACAATAACTAAATATAGTATTGTATAAGCTTAATAAATACATATGTTTAGAATAGGAATAAATTAAACCATTGTAATATCGAACAACTTACTCTTGCAGCAAAATTTAAACTTTTTCGAGGACAAATTCAACTAACTTAGTTTTTCTTATCACCTTTTCAACGCAGCCATTTTCACATTATTAGTGGGACCGAAAAGCGAGTAATTGTGAAGTGGACAAATGTTCCAACTTGATATCACTAGGCTTATCCTAAAAATATTTATATCCCTAGGAATTAAAGGTTGATCACAATAGTATATTGACAAATCAAATTTGACTTATTTGACAGTAATAAATTAATTATTTTCTGTAGTACTTATAGATTATTTTCTTTTTCAAGTGTGTTATATAATAGTTATGTAAGATTTTATATGAGTGAGCGAAAACGTTAAGATTTTATTTTTGTAATAAATCAGTTAAGCAATTAGAGATATTTTCAGTAGGAAGCACTTAAGTATTACAACTAATAGCGTTTATATTGATAATACAATACAGAAGATTTAAAAATTCCCGCTTCTTGCATTCAAAATAAGTGAAATTTGTATTTTAAGTCTGCTTTTAAATTTGTTTTATGCATATAAAATTTTTTTAAACAATTTCATCCATTTTTACAAAAGAAAAAAACTTTTAAGTTTAATACATAAAACTAATAATATATATATATCAATTTATTATTTTATAATTATTGTCAAATATGATAAACTATTTTATGTTTTATTTACAAACTAATCTAACACTTCCGAAAACATCAACATTCATGAAAGATACTAATTAAGCTACGCTAATTCATCATGTTTTTATTGAAAAATCGTAAAATATGTATTTGTAAAATATTTTGCAATAAAAATTTTAGCAATGTAATTTTAATATAATTGTAATCAATTTTTATGTAAATATAAATTATAACGACTTGTTTATTCTTGCAATATTTTCATAAAAACTTCCTTTTTTGTTTATTAATTAGTAAAATTAGTGTTAATATAACAAAGTTATATAACGTATTTATTATATTATGTTTAAACTTAAACTCAAATAAAATTATGCTATATTTATATGGTTTTTTTAAATAATAAATTATTTACCTTTGTTTTTGGTTTTAATAAATTCGATTAGATTTTGATAATGCATAATACATTGTATTATTGTATTTATTTTAAAGAAAGGACATATGTATTATATAATACATGTATATATATATATATAAAAATTTTCTTAAATCATATCGAAAAATTATTTTATTACAATTTTAGAAATATTTAATTTATATAATTATTTGTAAAGTATTAATATTTTCATACTAAATGATTTTACATTATACATTTTTATATATTTTGTATTTAGATAAATATCTAATAAAAGACTAATATAATTAAATTCGTTAGTTATGCCATAATTATTAAAAAGTTCAGAATGTAATATAAAGAACTTTTTAAGATTTGTAATAATTCACTTTAAATAACGATGCAAGTATTTGATATTTAAGCTTATTTATGTTAATTATATATTTTTTATAACAAATTTCTTAATTTAGTTATAATTTTAAAGTAATAAATCTCTAAATATTTAATGCTTTTACTTATTAATAAATTCAAAGATAAAATGCAATATTTTTTATAGAGTAACTGTCTAGTTTAATTTTAAACCTTTTTATTACTTTTATAATTTTACACTAAATAATTTCAAATATATAATGTCAAATAGCAGACTAAATTGAATGCATTTTATGAAATTTTATTACATTATAGAAATATGACATTTTATGTTTTGATTATGATATATTAAATTATTAATGATTAATGAAGAATTAAATTATTAATGATTCAATAGGGTTTATTTTTTTAAAACATATCTACATTGGCATTATTTTATGTTGTATTGGTAAATACTAAAAATCATTTTTTATTGATAATAACTTCCACAATAAAATAAATTGAAAATATATATTTTATTTAAATTACTTGTATATAATAAATATTATTTATATAACACAATAAAAAAACAAGCACTGTAAGAAGAATAACTTTCCTACTCTAAAGATCTTTACCCATAATATTTATTTGTAATACATTTCTTTGTATATATCAACTACAGGTATATAAAAACAAAAACTATAAACTATTACTTGTAATTCTTAAGTATAACTAAACTATAACTTCTTTGCAGAACAGATGCTTATTTAATGAAGAAATAATATATTTTCAAGAATTATAAATTCTCTGTAATTAGAATAAAGAGTATTTCTAAAATAAAAATTGAAATAGAAAATCAATTATATAATGATGTTATAACTTCTCATCATAATTTAATATAATAATTACTTTATAGTTGAAAACATTAAATTTTATGTAAGCATTATATATCGCCAAATATAGTTAACTATTATTAAAGTATTTAGATTAATAATAAAAAATGATTAAAAATATCATTCCTGATTTTTTAAAATAAATAAGTTTAAATATCTCAAAATACAAATACTTGTATCATTGTTTAATTATAAATATAATTTTATTATAATAAAATAGTTAATAAAGAGCTTATATTTTGGTAATTTAAAAAAGAATTTATAAAAGCTAAGTTTTATAATCAAATTGTGTGAATTAAATATTTAATCAAAATTAGTTCCATTAATTAGATAATTTTCTTTTTACACAAATCTAATAAACATGAATCATATTATATACCTTCTTTATAAAATAAACTATAATAAGTTTTAAAAATTAATGAAATGTCCGAATTTAAATATAATACCTATATAAATTTCAAATACATTCAAAAGCAATTTAAATAATGATTTTAATTGAATTATATTTATAAATGGAAACTTGTATTTATATTTTTTTTGTGTCAAAATAATCTGTAACATTATAGTTTACAAAATAAGATTTGAAAGATGTTTTTTTGAAAAGGTGAATTTTTTCAGAAGTTTGTCATACTGGTTTCAATCATTTTTTTAATAAGGTTCACTAAAACGTTTACACAGTACTTGTACTGTAATTGTTGAAACAATTAAATATTTCCATAAAGTAATTTAGAACCTTGAAAGCTTCTAAGCATCTGCTTTAATTTTTTAAATAGCCTTAGAATTTATTTAGTAATTACTAGAAATCTCAATATCTTACTGTCGTTAAATTTAAATTTGGTATAAATTTTATCTTTAAATATATTGATAAGGTATTTATTGATCATCGTATATGTTTTAATACGATGTGACAATAAAAACCTTAATTTAATCAGTATTCAAATTTATACTTAACACAGAGTTTCTAAATAATTTAAACATTTAATATTGATAATAATATCGTGATAATTTTAGCTTTTAGAAATTTTTAATTCTTTAATTTGTAAAATTTTGTCAATAATATATTTTACTAGATTAGTTAGTTTTGCATTTAAATGACCACTCATATTACAATCATTTATTTATTTTAAAAATAATGTGTACAATTATAACTAAAATTACGTAAATGTTTAAAATCCTGTTTAACATTTATATATAACATATGTAATATAATCTGTAAAACTTTATATATGAATTTGAACTATATGAATTAAAAATTTATTTATCGAATAAATTATTGAAAAATTAAATAATATTGTTTGATCTAATAATAATAAAAATTCATAGAAACATTTTCAATTAGAATAATGTTTGGACAACATAATATCGTTAAATTTTCTATTTAGTTCAGTCCATTATTTTGGCAACAATTTTTTTTTATAAAATATTCATAATTAAAGTATCTGAAATTTCGTTTATAAAATATTTGATTATTTATGTAAGAATCACTATTATGAATAAAAATAGATGTCATTATTCTATATGTATAAACTATATGTAAAACCCTAATTCAATGTATTGTGATTATGTACAGAAATTACTAAATGTTTTAAATATATGTAATTATTAAATATAGGAATAATTTTTAATATAAGCCACTCAATGTGATAAAAATATTAGTGTTAATTATTATTACCTAAAATTCTTATTCGTTTGAAAGCTTTATTATTTAAAAATAATTTGATTATTTTATAAATTATTAATATAAAAATAAAAATTCTTTGCTTATGAAATATAGATTTATTACTTTCGAAAAGAGTATTTTAATTTTGTGTTATAAAACAAAATTGAATGAAATGATAACTAAATTAAATATTTATAACGTTCCATTTATTTCAATATTAAAATTAGATATTTACACAACCATATATACAAAATATTAATAAACAAATTGATTAATAATTATTTCTTTTTATTACTATTTTTATATTACTATTTGAAATGATAACTAAATTAAATATTTATAACGTTCCACTCATTTCAATATTAAAATTAGATATTTACACAACCATATATACAAAATATTAATAAACAAATTGATTAATAATTATTTCTTTTTATTACTATTTTTATATTACTATTTATATAAAAAGATCTACTTTATTTGATGGTTTTATAAAATATATATTAATTTTCTAATGATTACGATTTTAATGTATATCAATGATTAATTATATTTTTAAGGTACTCAAACGAAGCAATTGCGTATAGCGGTCAAAATTAGGAAGCACTTACGGTATCGTTCAAAGATTTACAATATAGCTTACCGTTTTCGTGAACCGAATCAAGCTTCAAATAAGCTTATTAATTTGTTTTGCACTGTTGACTATTATTCAATGAGCTTATAGAGAAGTTCTAAGAGTAGCATAAGCCCGATTGTTTCAATAAAGTTTGGTGTTCTTTCAAATCTATTAACAATCTTAATTGCACTATTATAAGCTGTTTGACTTATTTATTGTTACAAATTAAAAGCTTAAAGTATGCAAAATATTTTTCTTTATCTCAACAGAAGCAAGAGTATAATGGAGCATCGTTCATAGTTTCAAGTTCTGCTTATTATCTCTTTCCTCTAATATCAGTTATCGCTTACCACCTCGATGGTTAATCAATCTACCATTTACACTTCATTTATGCCTACATTATGTGAACATAAAAATGACGTACACATAAAAATATAAACATAAAAAATGACACAAGCAAATAATAATAGTAAAATACCAGTGTACTTGCTTGCGGTAAATATTTATGCGGTAAAAATATGGAAACTATGATTTTTTTTTTTAATTGAATTTGAAATTTCCAGAAGAGAGGGACAGAGTTAAGCTAGCATCAATGACTTTGAACACTACCAGATAAAAGAATTTTCAATTTCAAAGTAATGACTTCACGATTAGTCTCACCAAATCGTTTCTTACGATTTTCAAATTAGTCTTTTTGACTATAATAGTTTTACGGATTACAGCAGTTTTACGCGGAATGCAAAGTGGGAGAGGTGTGAGCGCGCAAACATTTGTTTTGTCAACATTGGCCAACGGACTCAAAGAATGCTTCTAGCCAAAAAACTCTAATATATGACTATAATTCCGAGAAGTAATAACAAATGAACCCTACAAAGCTATGCCCTATTGACGTAACGACAAATAGCGGCATAGTAACAGCCACCGATGCGCTATCGGCGCAGCCAGTTCGTACGAGAATATGTAAGGAGTTGCACGTTTTGCGATTGCCTCTTGCTAGTATCAATCATGCACTCTTCACATCGGGCTCGCTATCCAAACCTGCCATCGCCATTGGGAGGCCATGGCAAGCATCAAGCAACGCAGGCGCTCGTTCTTTACTACTTCTTACTAGTTAACAAGCACCCATCACGACAGGACCGCCAATCTACACTCGCGGTTTACGCCCGCATGTAAGTAACGCCGACGCTCGTTCTTACGACTACTACTACAGCGGTTCCTGCCAACTCAAGTAAGATGCGACGAGACACTCGTTCTTACTATCTGTACTCGCGGTTCCTGCCACCACCTCACGCAGTTCCCGCCACAACGTGCAAGCAACGCCGACGCTTGCTCTTGCATATTACCTCACACCGCGGTTGACGCCCGCATGTAAGTAACGCCGACGCTCGTTCTTACGACTACTACTACAGCGGTTCCTGCCAACTCAAGTAAGATGCGACGAGACACTCGTTCTTACTATCTGTACTCGCGGTTCCTGCCACCACCTCACGCAGTTCCCGCCACAACGTGCAAGCAACGCCGACGCTTGCTCTTGCATATTACCTCACACCGCGGTTGACGCCCGCATGTAAGTAACGCCGACGCTCGTTCTTACGACTACTACTACAGCGGTTCCTGCCAACTCAAGTAAGATGCGACCAGACGGTCGTTCTTACATCTTACCCTTACACCGCGGTTCCCGCCAGCTCATATAAGATACGACCAGACGCTCGTTCTTACATCTCACCTCTATACCACGGTTTACGCCACATCGAGCACACGAACGTGCACCAATGCCACCACTACCTTTGAGCTCATGGACACAAGCTGTGACGTCACATGGACGTTCTCCCACCACTCTATACACTACAGCTCACCCCACGCCGGCTGCTAAAACGGCACTAACTTGCTGCTCTTACCACCACGAGTCTCCCACTACACTACTCAACCCAAAAGAAGAAGGGGAATCACCCTCCAGGCTATCAAAAACACACGTACAGACTTATTGCCACCACCATTACTGAAGAAACACTGATCTATTCATTCTATCATACACTCACTCCAATATTCATAGATTATTAACTATTCATTATTTATTATATTTAATAAAAGGAAAGACTATAAACATTAAAGGCAGTATTGAATAATTGCATTGCCCCTTCCACTTGCCAGCAAGCCTCCACCCACCATCATAAGGAGGTTTTTAGTCTGATCCCAGACAAATAGGTATTGCTATTAAAAATTACTAGTTTTATTTCGTAGAGATGCTCAACACCACAAACTTGTATGGTTATAATGTTTTACTTTAGGTAAAGAAACAGTTATAAATATTTAAATTTGTATAATGTTATCTGTGGAATAATCTTAAAAATTTGTAAAAAATATACAGTTGTCATTGTCGTTAAAAAAAGCTTTTTTGTTTGCATAAAAATTTATTTCAATGTTTGTTTTATAAAACTTTTGTTAATCTTTTTGTATTTTTTTTTTTTTTTGTAATATTCTAATATATGAAATCATAGTACTAACTGTTATCTTTGAGTTTCATTGGGTGCTTGTGCTAGCCAATGTATAAAAGTTTATTATAGGTGTAAAGTTCTTAATACACTACACCCATTCATCCATTTTCAAAAAAATAATTGTAATTGTAATTGTATCATTGCAATTGTAGCATAATATTAGTTAATTAATTTTTTAATTAAAAATACATAAATTGAAAATAATATTTTATATATTATAATAAAAAGTATTTCTATAAATGAAAAACAAAAATTTTGATTGTAATGATTTTGATGTATTTGATTATAATACTATGTTCTAATAACTATATAAAACATGATTATCAAATATTTTATACTCACAAATCAATGCGATCTAAGAATTCAAACACTGGATATAACATATATATTCCAGTAGAGAATAATTAATTGTGATTTAACTGTAAAATAATCATATCTCTATTATACATATACTTAAAATTTAATGAATTTCTGAATAAATGAATATATAAATGAATACATTTTATTTATAAGTATAGTAGGTTAACACTATTTTAATAATAAAATTTCTTATGATCAATATTCTTATTAACTTATAATCTATTTAACAACGGTTACTTAGCAATTATCATTACATATACAATGATAAATATAAAAGTTGAAATTCAAGTATCGAAAACAATATATCTTTTATAATGATAAACTTATATATTAAATATATACTTCAACCAACAATAATTTGTGTTTATGAATTCCTCGTATTAATATTATCTATTACAAGCATTTTCATATCAGAAAATATATTGAGGTATCATTTCGAGCACTGAAAATGAACAGTTAGATTATTATAAAATATTTAATAAAAGTGAAAATACGAAATAATAGAAACAATTAAAATGATTATTTAATGATTCTTCAAATTAGAAAATATTTTAATAAACATGTCTTAAACTTACATATAAATGTGGATACTCTTATCCTTTTTTAATTCCCTTTTATCTAATATTCATTTTTTATACATATTCTAACTTCTATTACATGAATATTCAAGAAAATTAAATAAATATAAGACTATTTAAGGGAAAAAAACGATAATAGTTAAATAGTACGTAAAATTAGTACAAAATATATATCTTAATAAAAAATTATTTTATTTGAGTTATGTTTTTTTAATATAAGTATTTAATGTAAGTATTTAGTATAAGTATATTATATCGTTCTAGAGAATATCTAAGATCACAATTTGTTTATCTTTGCATATATATATTAAAAATATTTTAAAAATCAATAATAAGAGCATATAGCAAATATAGAAAAATGATAGAATTTTTATATTTGTTTCATAAATTCAAAAGTTTATTTGAGAAATATTTTAATTAGAGTTTCTTAATTTAAGTAATACTATGCAAATCTTAAAAATCAAATATAATTTTACTTTAATTTTTGTATAAAATCTTACTGAATTAATGAAAATTCAAAATATATAGATAGAAAAATATTTTATTCAATGTTTTTCAAACTTGGAAATTTCAAATAATGGAAGCTAATTTTGTATAAAGTTTTAAAATTTATTATTTTTGACATTATATTCGTTTAATAAAAATAAATAAGAATAATTAAATATTTAAGTTTATTTATAACTTAAGTTTTATTAAATTATAAGGATTTTTTGGATCAAAGATATAAATAATAGTATTTTGACATATTATAATTTATAATCTCACTTGATTAAAATGTTAACTTTGGACTATCTTAAATATAAAAGATATTCGAGAGAGTAATGAAAAAAGATTGAGGAATAATTTTTAAAATAGTTTGCATAAAGACATCAAATTTAAGTACTTATATGATGACATATAATAATTGAGATCAGTAACTGTGAATGTCAAATACGTACATATATGCATTGCGAATCGTGCAATTCTAAACGTCTGAACGTGTACGCTATAGAAAAGTGTGCTGCTACTCGTACGTGTCGGCCAAAGCGACGAACGGGCATCCAACGGTTCGTGCCCTCTTCTCTCTCGCACGTTGAGGATAAGGTGACTATGACAGATTGGGAGGGGGAAGGCACTATGGGTTGAAGCAAGAAATTGAGACTGTGCCACGCGCCAGGATCTCTAGTATCACGTTGTCTTCCGCCTTTTTCACTTGGGTTGACGTTTTCTCGAGCAAGTGTAAATTTTGTGTACTTCAAACGTAAGTGAGATGCTGCAAGAATTGCAGTTGCTTCTGCTGTTCCTGACTTGCTTCGTGGTCCCGAGCAGCCAATGGCCTTACTCGCTCTGGTCCAGCAAATCTCAATCCCAACAGTCAGTGCGTAATGTTTTCCGTACCGGCAAATTTCTTCCTAGGGGTAAGTTTATAATTGCTGTAGCTCAGTTTCTTAGGACTCCTTTGAATTTTTTCGTATTTATTATATTGAGAATAATCGATTGTTGCTTATTTTGAAGCGCAATTCTCTTTTCCTCAATCTTTTTTACTCACTTTATCTACTCCTTTACTCGTACGGTTCAGTATGCATGTAGCCCCGTTCATTAATACAGAAGTTGTATGGAAATCGTATTAATTTTTTATTATTACTGAAGTATTGAAAACTTTATTATTTATTGAATTAATTTTTCGTTAGCACTATTTAAGTGAATTAATCTTCATGTATCATCATTACAGTATATTATTTAAATTATAATTCATAATTTTAGATAAATATTTTTAAATGATAATAGCAATTTTTTATGTTTTTATTTTATGTTTGTTAAATCATATAATAACGTTAAAAATAATTTTCTTATTTATCTATATTTTTAATATTACTATTTTGTAATTAGTAAATTAGTTTTAATGTAACTCAAAAAAAAAATATATATATATTATAAATTATGTTAATTATATATTACACATCAAGTATTTAGTTTGTATTTTAATTTGTAAACATTTAATTGGATTAAATAATATCGGAATTTAATATACATTATTTTTATAATCTAAATAAAATTATATTACTAATTTAATCAATCAAATTTATGAAAAAAACCTCAAATAGTAATAAAATTAATTGAATGTTTGTAATTTAATTAAATGTGCCTTTACTTCTTGTAAATTAGACTTACTTATAATTAAAAATAGAATTCACAGTAAAAATTTTATTAAACTATTTTAAATATTAAAATAGCTTGAGCGATTTAATGATTTAAATTAACAATTTTGGGATATGTATGATAATATTATGATTTAATTTGTATGAAAGGGTTATAGAAATAATGAAAATCACAATTTATAATTAATAAATATTAAATTGAAATTCTAAGCATTGTAAATTGAAAACAATTTTGTAATTATTGTTTATTAATATTCATCTACTTTTGTGAATTTGAATCTACTTATTGAACAATTGAATTAAAAGTTAAAAAGTAATTTAAATAAAATCTTGTAAAGGTATAATAATAACTTATTACTTAATTTTTCTTACATCTTCTATAAATCGATATAATTACAGTCATCAATAACAAATTTGTAGTTGTAAATCTCAAGAAAATAAAAAAAAAATAAAAATAAATATACAATAGCTCTCCTCCCATTTTCATTCTCATTTTTTGTATTTAAGAAAATAATTATTTTTTAAAATATAAAATCAATTTTTGATATTTCTATTTAGATTCGAGTTTTTTTATCGATCTTTTTCTAAACACATAGTGACCAATATAGCAGTAGGAAATCGGTATTTTGAATCTATCATAAAAATAATAAATGCTTGAAACATAAATATAATAAATGCTTGTTCTGAAATCCTTGAAAAATGAATTAAATATTACATTAATATTTAATGTTACGATTATATTCATAACCTATTGAAGACATTGATGTTATTTTGATTTTTTTCTCTGATAATAAGTATTTAAAAGGTTTGATTATGATGTGTACTTTGAATTTTTAATTGAATGCGGTATTTAGATTTTTTTAATTTTTAATTTGATTAAAGACTCTCACTCATTGTTTTAATTATAATTATCCATACATTTGTTATAAATCAATACATTTTTTATGAATCAATACATTTTTTTATGAATCAATACATTTTTTTTGAATCAGTACATTTTTTATGAATCAATACATTTTTTTGAATCAGTACATTTTTTATGAATCAATACATTTATATGAATCTATACATTTTTTATGAATCAGTACATTTTTTATGAATCCATATAATTTTTATGAATCAGTACATTTTTTATGAATCAATACATTTTGTATGAATCAATACATTTTTTATGAATCAATACATTTTTATGAATCTATACATTTTTTATGAATCAGTACATTTTTTATGAATCCATACATTTTTTATGAATCAATACATTTTTTATGAATCAATACATTTTTTATGAATCAACACAATTTTTTATGAATCAGTACATTTTCTATGAATCAATATATTTTTTATGAATCAATACATTTTTTTGAATCAGTACATTTTTTATGAATCAATACATTTTTTTGAATCAGTACATTTTTTATGAATCAATACATTTTGTATGAATCAATACATTTTTTATGAATCAATACATTTTTATGAATCTATACATTTTTTATGAATCAGTACATTTTTTATGAATCAATACATTTTTTATGAATCAATACATTTATATGAATCTATACATTTTTTATGAATCCATATAATTTTTATGAATCAGTACATTTTTTATGAATCCATATAATTTTTAGGAATCAACACATTTTTATGAATCGATACATTTTTTATGAATAAACACATTTTTAATGAATCAATATATTTTTTGAAAATTGGTAATAGTCTCTTAAACATTTTTATGCATAGATAAAGTAGAAAAAAGGTTGTTATTCAGAAACGTTGCACTTTTATTTATATAAATCTTACTTTGAACTTATATATATAATTATAATTTATATTTTTATAACACCATATTTCTATGGTAATACTGGATTTTTTAAAGTATTTGTAAGTATTTTTATTTTAATTAAATTTATATGAGCATTTTATAATTCGTAGAAATTGTGTAGTTATTTTAATACTAATTTAAAATTAGTAATAATTATTGTTAAAATAATTATTAAGCAAATTTTTATTTATCTAATTTTACATATGTATTCAATATTATATATTATATATTAAATTATTCTATACTTTAAAAATATTGTATTTTTGAAACTATTTAATGAAACATGAAAAATTATTATTTTTTAAAATGTCTTGTAATTTCAGATATATTTTTATTTTCTTAATATTAAACCTTCTTTTTTGAAATTTTGTAATTTGATTTTATATATACTTTGTTTTATTGAAAATATTATAAATTATTGAAATATAATAAATTATAGGAATTTACCCATTTTTACAATAATATTGAAAAATTTATTTAATATTGAAAAAATATCAAAAATATATAAATATTTTTAGATTATAATTATTGTAATTTTAAATAAAATAATTTAGTGCCGTAAAAAGAATGTTTAATTACAATTGATTATTGATAACTGGATTAAAATAAATTATTTTATAATATAATTTTGATTATATTATTAAATATCATGGAAAATAAATTTTAATAAATTAATATTAATGTTAATTAATATAAAAATATATTTTTCTCCTAGGAATGAATAATTTATAAATAGAACATATATATATTTATATATAGTTAATATTACAATAATGAAATGAAAAAGTACAACAAAACGCTCATTTAATTTTTATCTTAAAGTACTTATTTAAAATAAACTATATCGATACTGCCTGATATCCATAATAAATAATTGAAATTAATAATTACATTATATTTAAAAAATATTTTAATTAAGGATATTTTATTATGCAAAAACAGAATAGTAATAGTTAACATTAAATTAAAATCAATTATTTGTAGATTTCTTAATTTTAAAACATCCTAATGATAAATAAAATCATTATCATTACAAAAGATGTTTGAAAAACTATTCGAGATGCATCTGCAATGAAAAGTTAATTTATTTATTCATAAATATTAATATTAAGAAAACAGATATTATTAGACAAATATTTAAAATAATAATTTACTTGAATACAGACAGAGGCCAGCAAAATAAATGTACTTTTTCAGACATTTACATACATTTTCATCCGAACATATTAAGCTATTTGTTCTGTCTGGAATATCCAATTGATAACAACTATCTTCTTCTTTCGTACAAGGATCTCCATATACTATAAGTAAAAATAATACTAATGATTGAAATGTATTAATACTAAAAATGTTTAATATCGAACAATTTAAATAAACATTCTTATATGTTTAAGCAAAGACTTGAGTATCGTGTTATCAACCAATATATATAACAATTGTTAATTGGCTTAAATTGAATTTATGAATTTATAAGTTTTTACAAGATTGCTGAATTTATTATTTAATGTTTAAGATTTTTTAAATTTTATATCCTAATTTACTTGATTTTTAAAATAGTTTATTTTTATTAAAATTATATAAAAAATGCATGCTCATATTTTATAAACTATATTTATACTATTATTTTATTAGTTTATAAGTATTATTAAATTCTATAAAGAATTATTTATCAAAAAATATATAAAATCAATAAAAATATATTTTTACAAAAGTAATCTATATTTATGCAGTGTTCAAAATCAAATAATCAAAATGTTAACATTTTTAATACGACAAATATAAAGAATAAAATGTGTATCATTAAAAATTCAATTTTTATATAAAGAATCGTAAAATTAATTAAATTAATATTATTTAACATATACGTAAATATTATTGAATTTGTATATTAATACACACAATATAACAAACTAACATCAATAATTATCTAATTATTTTCTTTTCGCGAGCTGAATTATATCTCTGTTTCACAAGATGATATTACATAATATTTTTTTTAAAAAATATGATTGATTAAAGGCGATGAGTTGATAATCTCACCTTTATTAGGAATGCAACGTTTATTTGTCAAATCAAAATGAAAATTCATACGACAGTGGCATTTGCCATTTGTGCACTCGGAGTTATTAAGTCCTGCAATACATTGAATAGATTCGGTACAACTATCCCTTGGTAGATTTGCAATAGTTAGGCATTTCCGCTTATCAACATTAATTATCATGTGTGGTGGGCAGTCGCAAATTCTTTTTGATGTATGATTCATGCGAGCCTCCTGGCATGTCGCACCTTCAATATCCTCGCAGTCTTCATCTTGGAAACAAACCTTTCCAACACCTGCGATAAAATTGTCTATACGAGATACTTTTAAAAATATAATATTCACGTATTTTATTATTCTTTTATTGAATGAACTTTTATCCTTTTATTCGCTTTATAAACAATTTTGTATAGATTTAAAATATAAATTTATAAAATATACGATCATGTAGTACATTTTTAAAAGAATGTTATTACGTATAATTAACGTATTTGTAAGAAATATTAATCTATATAAAACAAGGAAATTAAAAAAAATGATTCTAAATATCCTATAACTTAAAAATATTTTTGTATTCAAAAACTTCTTCTCTACAAGCTTTTATCAACGAAATTTCTAGATTTTAAAATTATATTCATCCTATATTGTATTTTCGAATATGATTGTCACACATTGAAAAGTTAAATTTCTTAACATTTGTAAAAATGAGAACATTTTTTTATAAATTATTGTTCACAAAAAGAGTGAAAAATTATATCATTTTATTTCACTTTATATGTAAATATGATTTTAATTAATTTACTGAACAGTAAAATAATAGTTATTTTGACAATTCGACTACTTAGTTTTTTTTATAAGTATCTAATAATTACAATACAATAACTTGTACTATTTATTTCCTAAACTTTTATAATTTATGTTATATTATATAATACAATTGTGAAATATTACCTTTTTGTTTTGTATTTACAATGATATCTTTATGTGAACATGATTGATACGATTTAGTAGTAATATTTCCACACATACACATTGAATTAATACATTTCAGCATTTCTGCTTTAATAATGTTTTTACAAGTATCATCAGTCTTGCAGGGAATTTGCGCATCTATAAATATAAGAATTTGAGTAATATTAAAAATCAATGATTTTATGATTCAGAAAATAAGCATTGTACATTCTTTTTTCACACTATTTATAACAAGGAAGTAAATATTTCCAGTACTATTAAAATATGAAACTTCAAAATTAAAAATATTTGAACTACAAATGAAACATCGATTAAAATTAAATAAAAATCTCAATTAATCAATACGTACTATATTCTGCTTTTAATGAAAAAATAAAAATAAAACTAATTAAAACGATATACTTCATTTTTAATATATAAGCTATTAATTTAACTACTACTATTTAATGTAAATTTTCGATCAGACGACAATGACAACACGATCGGTTGTTAGAAATTAACTGAATTGTGAAGATTCGAAGAACATGATATTGAAAGGATATTTATAAACATGAAGGAAATTTTCGCATGAAATTAACTTTATTAATACCTATATAAATAACGATGTTGGATTCAAATGTAACTACAAATTATATAGCAAATTCAAGACTTTGTATTTGATTATTTATTTTATAAATTAATATTTTATAAGTCAAAATTTTAAATAAAACTATAAAATTTCCAGATAAGTATATCAATTAGATTTAAATATTTAATGTAGAATAGCTACTAAAATTTCTAATAAAAGTGTTAGTTTTAAACCTAAATAATTATTATATACATTATATACATGGAATATATTTTCAATAATATTGTAGCATAATTAATTTTAATTATTTGAAAATAATTAATTTCAAAATATTATGAAAATTCTATTAAATATTCATATATGTATATAGAAAATGTATGTACAATTAAAATAATATAAAGTTTATATATGGCAATCTATCTTCATATCCGAGTCTTTTGCTCGATAAATTTAGAATTGATTTTAATAATCTAAAAACCAATTTATGCGCGAAGACAAATAATATGATTTTAAAATATTGCATAATATTAATTTTTTATATTGAATTATTTATATTAAATAAATTATAAGCTTTGATATAATATAAATAATATGTAAATTTTATATCCGTATAATATATTACAAAATATGTATGTGACAAAATGAAAATTTTATTCTCAAGTTAGCAAATTAAATGAATTTTTCATGAAAATTTAAGTTTCCTGTTTAATTTTATTTTTATGAATTATATAATATATAATAATTGTATAATAATTCATTAATATTGATCTTATAAAATATAATATACGTTAGATTTTTTATCGAGTATATTAAAGTAAATATAAATATAGATCACTGAAATTAAAAATTATAGTAATATAAGAATTAAATTTATGACTTTAAAATAATTATATAAAATTTAATATATTTGATATATCTAACAATTGGATAACTAGATGATAATTATAACAAAAATACTTATTTTAGAAAATATAACATAAAATTTTTTTTGTATATCAATATACAAATTTAGGTCGATATTGAATGAAGAAGCTAATAGTGTCATTACTTCTTATATGGATGCATGAAAACATAAAGAAATCTCAATATTAATTAAATATACTATGTAATATGGGATATCAAAGTATTCTAAAGAATTCTTTGTTAATTTTTTATAATATTTTCATAATTTAATGGACTAATTATTGTTAACTATTTCTTACGGTAATATTCTCCCAAATGTCTTCTATTTTGTCCGCTATTTTTTCTCATACTTTCTCTCTATTTTATTACTCTTTTTATGTTAATATTATTAATCGTAAATTAAAATAATTATCGATATTATAATGAGTCTGAATATAAAGTTTTGTTTATTAAAAGTTTGATTATTATAAAAATACTTAATTTATTCATACATGTTTATCAGATTTATTATGAAATATGTTCTATAATAGGTTATTGTATAATGAGTAACAATTTAAAATAAATTTTATACTATTTAAAATTTTTATCATAAAATTTATTTATTCAAAAATTTTTTTTATTTCTAATACGCATAAAATTTGTTTATGCTAAAATTAAATTCAATATTCGGAAATAGAAATATATATTAGCATTAGATGCAATACAAACAATTAATTCAGATAATAATTCTGTCGTTATATCAATTTATAACTATTGAAATAGTTATGCAATAGTAGTTTTATTTTAATAATTAATGTATAGCCGATTAATGGGTGGTACAAGAGCGATGTAATTAACAACGATAATTTAAAAATTATAAATAAATTTTTTTTTTTTTTAAAGTGAAGTATTGAAAAATTTCAGTTAATAATATATTACAAAAATGGATATAATTAATATAATATAAGTAAAATATTAATAGTCAATAAATAATAACTAACAAATATGGCACATTTATTGAATTTAATGATTCATAAAATCTTATGTAGAATTAATCATATTATGTGTAGATATGATATCATATTAGATGTAGATATAATTTTTTTATATTTCATTTTAATTTCTAATTATATATATTAATTAAACTGAATGACTTGCAATTAAAATTTTGTAGTAGAGTAAGTAATAAATAATTTGAATATTTAAGTAATGAAAATTGAAAGTAATAAAGTAGTAAAAAAATTGAATAAAGAAAAAAAAATTATTGTGTGTACTTTATAATAAGAAATGATTTTAAATAGAATAATATTGATAGATCAATAATATTTAGTCATTGATATGAATTTGTCATAAATTCTTTGATGTTGCTATGTAAATATGTAATATAAGTTCTGTAAATCTTATTGAATGAAATTAGTATAATACTTGTTATTGTTGTATTTTAAAAATAATATTTACAATATTTCAAATTTTTAATTATATATTATGATTACTAAATAAAATTTTAGAATTTGTATATATTTATAAGCCAATAAGTTTTTAAATAAATTAAATATTTTGAAATATTTATATATACTTTGAAAATAGTTTTACAAATTAAAAATCATTTCAAATTAAATATTTGCTGATACAGAGGCATTCTATATTATAATACAAAAATAACAAAGGGGTTTTCTTATTAAATAGTCTATTAATGTTTTATTAAAACATTCACATTTAACTTCGACGATGTAGAACTTATGATATTCCTTTATAAAAATGTATACAATGATATAACGAATACCAAGTTTTCAAAAAAATTTGTACAATCAAATTTTTAACGAAATCGATATAATCTGATACGAAAATTTTTTATGTGGAACTGAAGACGCTGTACTTATTGATTAAACAGAAATGTTTCAGATGAAATATCAACCCATTAAATTTTTTAAATAATCTCAATTGATCATTTGAAATACATGGTATTATGTATGATATTATGTATTTTGCTTTCAGAGTTAATTTCTTTAAAAAAAGAATTTGTTTTTAAACGTTTACTTAATGAATAAGAAATGAAAAAATAATATGAAAAAATAAAAATATATAGTTAATATTTTTAATACATGATTTTATATAAAATATATTTCTCACATAAATATTTCTTGTATTAGATTATTTTAAAACTTAGTATTAATTTGCTAATTTCTAAGATTTCAATTCAATAATATATAATGTATTTACAATATTGAAAACTTATTTTTTAATTTCACAACAAAAGTAACTTAAACTTCATTTTTTAAATCTCAGTTACTTTATCTAAAATATTACAAAATATGAAATTTTTATGTATTTTAACTTCTTATTTCTTGAATTTCATATTGTATAATTTTATTTGATTTGTGCATAGTTTTTTTTCACTAATAGATTTAAAAAAAACTATTTAATATTTGATAAAAATCAATATTTTTCTTACATAACAACAAAACGTAGTTTTTATAATATATTTTAATAATTAATATATTGTTAATTAATATATTTTATTAATAGGTAATCCTATTTTTAAACTGAAATCGGTAAAAAATAATTTTATGAAAGTTTAATAATGAATTCAAATGGCTTAGGTCTATTAATAGAAAATATATTTATTAATAATTTAAATTTTTAAGCTAATTTTAATAATAGAAGAATATATGATTTAATGAGGAACTTTTATTCTAATTAAATTATATATACATATATTTCATTCTACTAATTATTGTATATATTCCGTTGTAAAATTTAATTACAAATTATTTTTATTTTGCAAAAACAAAAAATTATAATAATTTTGTAATTTTTTAAAAATGTAAGTATAAATTCTATACTATTCCGAATTTTGTTACTTTGATATTTAAAAAACAAATAAAATTATTATAGAATTTCATATTTGATTAAAATAAGATCCTATTGTGTAATGTGGATTGTAATGTTATACACTTTATGAAAGATTTGTCTGTATGTAGTAGGAGTGTTTATCAAATGCATAATAATCAATATACTATTGTACGAGATTGATGCAGTTCCATGAATTTAAGAAAAAGTAGGTCATACGCGCTGTGCGGCGCACGGCACACGCCCTCGGACCGGCACGCGCAATCGGGCGAATGTTTATAAACAAAACTCGGTAAGTTCGAGCAAGTTTTACGACATGAAATCTAATATACTATAAGATCACACAAGGGTATTGTGCCTACTTTTCTCTCGTCGAAAATTCTCGAAGGTTCTAGATTTTTCTTTCCACACCTCGTGTAAGAATTAGTGCAACAACGACGATGCTTTGTTGCCAGCTAAGTGAGCCGCAGCGTGGCTATATAAAGGACGCACGCGGCGTGCCTCGCCCTCTCGCTGAAAATCTCTCTTGCTGAAAGCTTCTTGCTTGCTGACCGGCTCTCCTGCCTAACCACCCTCTACCAACTGCACTTGCGGCTAACTTCTTGCCGTGACCCGACCACAGTGACCGACCATAGTGAACCGATCTAATCATCTACCAGTAGAAGCCATGGCACACGGGTCTCGATCTGCCCTCAGCAGGACCGCGATGGAACGGTCGGTATTTTCAGCAGAGCCGCCACGGAACGATCAAGCCTGCGGTTCGTGCGCGTATTCAAAAGGCTCATTGTAATATCACTTCGCGCTCAATCAAGTGTATCTGCCGCTCAGTGTTTTAGTATACTGTGAAGACAACGCGTGGCAATATATTCGGCAGCATAGTTAAGAATACACGCGTGCATAAGAATAAGAAATCGGCAGATTAGATAGTGATTACAGTGAAGCCAATGGAATAGTAATCAAGAGGGATATCAATTACACAGCAACTAATACATCTTGCCTGCAGCTCACAAGGTACATCTTTTTATATTAATAAATTAGTTAGTCACACCTCGCACAAAAGTAAGTCGGGCAAATTTACGCTCTTTCGAAGAACACTTCGGAACCATTCAGGCTCTCTGGCAGAAATAGGGCGCACTTACGCTCTCTCGAACAACACTTCGACATCGTACAGGCCCTCAACAGCTGACACAAGTGTCGTTTGCCCTAAGCACATTGTCAAAGAAGGACAACAACATATCGAGTAATAGATTATAAATACAGATTATTAAATCCTTCAAGAGTTACCATTAATCACTCTTACCTGTGACTAGATTCTTTTACTGTCCTCATAAATAATTAGACACAATTGATTACTTAATGCATTCCATTAAACATCTTACACCATATCAAGTATAGTTATTCATACATCAAGCATACATGATTCAAACACCATCTTCTCATGCTACCTCACAAGCATGATTGATTGACTACATCAGCATTACCTCAACTTCAAGATACTCAGTCATATCCATGGAAGCTACAATAATCAAGAATACAAGAACACACCCTCATTACTTCAATAGAATTATCTCTCTCTCTACACAACAGTGCAATATTATTATAATCATTTACAAATAATAAACATTGTTTTTACTAAATGCATAATATTTTTCAGCCTTGTCAATTATTATTTCCTTTGAAGTTACCCTGTCGAAAGACTAATCCACTGAACTATTGAATTGGTAGTTCGATCCATAAGCTAAACCTTTAAAATCGAACAACTATATATTAATAAATTATTGAGTAGAATATAAATTTGAATACAATATTATAATTTATTTTAATAATAATAGTTATTTCAATTATTTTCATTTTAATATTTTAATAATTATTTTAAAATCAATGAGATTAATTATTTTTCGAAAATTTTCTCGTGGAAACAATATTTATATAAATATAAATATTATATTTGTAGTCTTTAAATACATTTTGTATTTATTTATTTTTATCACTCAATTTATTTTTAATTTTTAAAAATCATATTAATTAATATTGGTTGTATTTTTATTTTTTATCCTTTATATAATTTTTTTATGGAATTTAAATATATATGTAGGTTATGAATGAGAAAATCAGATATAAAATGAGTTCAATTTTCAATTTAAAAATTTTGTATAAAAATTTTTAATATTGATTTATTTGGCGTTAGAGTAGAAAACTTTATATGCATAAATATTTACAAAATGTATTCAACTTTATGAATAGCTAGTAAAATTAAAACTTGATTAAATTGTCACTTTTTGAAGGATTTATAAGTATTACAATTCACATATGCAGAAAAAAATCATAGATTTATTAATATATAAATACTGTAGATTATTATATGTATTTATTTATATATTAAAGTCACTTTTCATGATAAATAAAGATTCCTGCATAAAAACATTTAGGTATTTGGTATATGAACAATTTTTATTAAATAAAAAGAGCAACAATGAAAACTGTTTATCGTTGTTTATAAATGAATTATAAATATAATTTTATTCGCGATGTTTTCAGTATATGTGTAGTTTTGACATATATTTATATTCATTCTAATTTTCTTCTGCACATATTTTAATTTCTAATAATATTATTTAGATTTACTTTTCTTCATTATAAATTATTTCGTTCTTTCATCTCTTGTTCACAATAGATTTTGATTTTTTGATAGAAATTAAATTTAATAATATTTATTGCTTAACATATGTTTTTATTTTTTTGTTAATATTTGTAATTTTAAAAATTATATAATCTATTTTGATTGAGATTTTTATAGTAATAATTTTAAATTATAATTATAGATTATAATTTTATATTTAATTTTATATAAGAATAAATTTTACTTTTATTTTATATTATTTATTATTATTTATCACACAAGTATTGAATGAATTATGTATGAAAGATATGCAAATGAAATACAAAGTATATGAAAATTTTTTTTAATTAAATATTATTAAAACAAGTATATTTATTTATAATAAGTAACCTTGAAAAGATAATTATCAGTAAAACATTTAGTATTTTAATCAATTTAATAAATAAAAAATTTAATTTAAAATAATTTTTAACAAAATTACAAATTTTATAAATGTCATTATTTAAAACAATAATATTAATGCTGCTTTATATAATTATTTTAATTTTGAAAATACTTATGCTTTTTGATTTCGATATAAATTCAAAAGATATTCATTACTTTAAATCATCTTTAATAAATTAACCATGTTAAATATCAATAATATATTACCAAAATTGTATATTATAATAGAAAAAATATAAAATCTAATAAATACATTTTTTATGTCACGTAGATTAATATGTAAATATATTTGAAATCATTCAAAATAAGTAGTGAGCGTTTTTATATAATATACAGAACTATTTATGTATGAAATCTATTAAACATTATAATACTATTCACAATTTATTTAAATAGATTTATATTTTATATTTTTCTGTAACAATTTTTAGAAAGCTTAATATGTTAAAATAACGATATATAACAACCAAATTATGCTATCATCGTTCTTGCAGTTCTTAATTTTTTTCCTGAGCCTGTAGAAGAAGAATGCATTTCCATGGATAATCGTCGCCGTGGAATTTGTATGAATACGTATGAGTGTCGTTTACAACGTGGTACCTTTCATGGACCTTGTGCTCTCGGTTTCGGAGTCTGCTGCATTTGTGAGTGTTTTTAGATATATTCTATATTTTATTGTGAGAGTATTATTATTTTCTATTTTATTCTCATTATCTGAAATTCATTCGTTCCATAGAACTATATATTTACCCATGTTTACGTAGTTTAGTTTTTTATTTTTATTACATATATATTATGTATTAGAAGCTGTTTGAGAATGAGAGACTCCTTTTAGTAAGGCAATAAAACATCTGGCAAGTAATATCATGAAAATTGTATTTAAGACTTCAAAACTTTCCTGCTCATAATTATTTTGCACTAGTGTCATAAAACATCTGGAAAACTCTAGCGAAACGTGCTCATACTCCCAGTGCAGTAGAACTTAATGGGTTTATTGCCGGGAGAACCCCAAAGTAGATTCAGAACGAATATCAGATATGCGTAAAGCATTGAGTACAAAACATTTACTTGATTCACTGCAACCCAAAACCCGTACGTGCGACAACATGCAATGACCATACGTGCGCACTCGGCCCTTAAGACAATGCTTGCATTGTTCTTGGCTATGCCACATCTGGTCGATTGCATTGGAAAATTGACCACGCCCAAGCGGACCCTTCTTCTAGCCAAGTCCCAGAGAGGGATGAGGCAACCAAGGAGAGGTAACCAATGGAAAAGGTTCGCCACCTTCCGACACTTTCCCGATTAGCAAATTCGGAACTGAGCCTGGAAGGAAGTGGAAATGAAGGCATGCATAATCTATTGTGCGGCCTTTTAATTAATAATTGCCTGGTTAATTAATAAAGGAAGAAGGGATCCCAAGTGGAGCGGGATCAGTGAACCATTTAAGAAGGGACTACGTAATG